GAAGGCATGGGGGTCCAGAGCATACATCAACGCTTAACACGGTTAATAACCTAGGACTTCTCTACGCTGACCAGGGCAAGCTAGGGGAGGCCGAGCAGATGTACTAGCGGGCGCTGCAGGGCTATAAGAAGGCCTTTGGATCTGATCATCCAAAGTCTCAAGACTTGCATGACAAACTTCAATCGTTGGAGATAACGATAGAAAACAAAAGCTTGAAAAACATGGAAGAGCCGGCGAACAGACAAACATCACAGACGAAACACCGCAAGGTCCTAAAATCCTTGGTTTAAGATAAACAGCTGGTTATATATTTGTTTTTTCACTATGTAGGTTTTTCTTTCTGGTTCAAGAACATCAACTAGAGTATATCCCAGAATAGTAATCGAGAATTCCCTCTGGTTTTTGGCTCACATTATAGAGATGAGCTATTAAGGAGCATCTATGCCGGGTCCGCCGATGTCAGCTGGTCCCTGGGCACAGGTGCGAGCAATGCTGACTTGGGCTGTTATTCTCATTCTTAGGCTGTAATGTTAATAGTGTCTTCAAGTTAAAAAGCAGCGGCTCTGTTCTCAGGCTACAAACTGACAAAGAGAACGACTAACATATCGGACAACAAAATAGCTCAGGAAACTGAAAAGCTTGTCGTCGGTTTATTATATCAGATCGTCTCAACAGCCGAGATCACCACGCCTGGCGTGACTGGGCTGGCTCGAGACTGGCTGACTGGTTGCCTACAGGTCAGGTGTTGAGTGACGGCATTAATCCCTACAGTGCACCAGAATCAAGTTTTACTCGTAGCATCCACGTGACTCTTCCCATCAAGATTTCAATCAAGTCAAGAGAACAAGAGAACAATATCCAACAACGTCTGGAACAAAGCAGCGATATATTATCAAACCGTAAAACACACCAAAAGCCTGGCATATATCTGCCTGGTCGTAAAATTCTTAGCATTACAGTTTCTCAAATCTCGCAGAATGGTACTGGGAATTCTCACATCCATTGCAGCATGTCCTGCCATTATTGGAACGACGGAGGCCGTTCGATCAGGTCAAAAGCAGAATGCGCGAGAGAAACATAGAAGCCGAAAAGCAAACCTCTCGGTTTCTTGCTCAGATCCATCACGAAAAGCACGGGATATACATGGCGGTTCAGTTGTTCTCAAAGATAAGAAGGTATAGGGCCTCCTACCTCTAATAGCCGTGGAAAGAAACAGCTGCTGATGAGCAAACTGATAGCTTTATGTTACAACCGTAAATCCAAAATCGAAGTTTCCTGAAGACTTCGAAAATGACGCGGACCGGATACAGCAGTATGGACACATCTTCGCAGGGTACTTCTTCCCCTATCCAGACAGCAAATGGGGACGTCGAGGTGAAGGCTATGTCTCTACTATTGCGGATGATCCTCCTCAGCTTAATTGGATCTACGTGGATAAAGATACCTACGAAGTGAAATACGGTCTTCGTGTTGAGACGGAAGGACATCTAGTTGGGCCCTGGAATGTCACGCCAATCGATAGAAGGCTTACCTTTGATGGGTGGGAAGGGTTTACTGTTGTGGAAGAGGGCGAAGGGGTTTGGGCGCTGTATTTTGATGTGGATGATGATGGGTTGGAAGAGAAGATACCGGCGGATCAGAGGATTATGGAGGTGGAACTGACGAGGAAAGAGTTGAGGATGGCCAAGGGAGATCCTATAATGTGATGGAATACACATCGTTCGTTTACTTCGTCTGTGCTAGCTTTGCCTCCACAATTCTCTCCACCATCTTCTGAAGGATGACAGGCTCTCCACTACTACCCTTTGAAAAGTAGCCTTCGACAGCCTTCTCCACGTACTTGCCAATCTGGTCGACTTCAACGTTAACCTCATCTCCCAAGGTTTTACTTGCAGTAACAATCTTCTCCTGGGTGTACGAAATCAACATGACTTCCCACCAACCCTCTTCGTCATCGACCTTGGTGACTGTCAGACTCGCTCCATCCAATGTGACATATCCCTTTTCCACCACATATCTAAGGACAGCCTTATCTCGGGGTTGAAATCTGAATGTAATCGCATTTCCATCCGGCTGCTTTTTCAATATTGTGGCGATAGTGTCAACGTGGCCTTGCACAAAGTGTCCGCCCATACGCGTAGTTGCTGAGACGGCCCGCTCCAAGTTGACTCGACTGTGCTGCTTGAGGGAGCCAAGATTCGTCCGTCTGAGGGTTTCAGGCGCGACGCCGACTTTGAAGGAGGATTCATCGAAAGACGTGACAGTTAAGCAGGTGCCGTTTATGCTGATACTGTCCCCAAGATGGCAATCGGCCAGGATCTCGGAGGCGTTGGAAATGGTGAGTGTTGTACCACCATCTTCGGCTTGATGATTGAGTTCGGAGACATCTGGACGAGGTTAGCTAGGCCGGCTTTTCTTATCAGTTGAAGGGAAAGACAGACCTCCTATTATCTCAACAATTCCTGTAAACATGATGAAGCTGAATTGAAGAGCTGTTCGTAGGTACTTTTGATCTTCCTCGGAGCTCGGAGGACGGAAGCGGCCGGGAGGAATTGGGGTGGGGTGGAGTGGGGTGGAGGGGTAAATTACAAGTCCGAAACCTTCTACATAGACATGTAGGAAATAATGGATTCCATGACTAGATCCCACTTCTGGAAAAACACTAATATCTAATCAGAAAAGCATACGACTTCTCCGTCCTCTTTGCAAGATCTCTGGTCTGGATGAGCCCTCGCTTAGCAATCGAAGTTATTTACAGTAGTAGTCGCGGCTTCTTAAGTAGCAGTCCGTCGCTTTCCCTTCATTTTCTCCTATCCTCCTTCTGCAAACCTTCACTTCGCCATGGACTTCAATGGTTCATCGCCCTTTCCCGAGGGAGTCATCTCCTTCCTTGACACCGACTTGTACAAGTTGACTATGCAATGCGCCGTCCTCAGGTACTTTTCGGATGTCAAGGTCACATACGCCTTTCACAACAGAACCCCCGAGAAGAAGCTTTCCAGAGCCGCCTTTCGCTGGCTTCAGATCCAAATCAATAGTACGCTTGTTATTCTTCAACCTTGCGCGAGACTTCACTAACAACCTCAAACAGAACTTGGTAACATTGCGCTCTCAAACGACGAACTCCGCTTCCTGCAGAATACTTGCACGTATCTGAATAAACCCTATCTCGACTTCCTCAAAGAGTTCCGCCTCAATCCTCGCGATCAAATCGAGGCCTCCTTCACGCCCGAGAAAGACACTGGAAGTGAGGATGACATTGGTGAATTCTGCCTGACGATCAAGGGTTTATGGGTGGAGACGATTCTCTACGAGATCCCGCTCTTGGCCCTGACGAGCGAAGCTTACTTCCGATTCATGGATACCGATTGGACATATGATGGACAAGAAGACAAGGCCTATGCTAAGGGAATGCGCCTTCTCGAGGCTGGCTGTGTCGTTTCCGAGTTTGGAACCAGACGGAGAAGAGATTATCATACGCAGGCGTTGGTATTCCGAGGCTTGGTCAAGGCGAAGAAGGCAGGGGAGAAGGCTGGTCTGTCAGGCGCAATTTCGGGAACAAGTAATGTCCATTTGGCAATGAGGTTCGGGATTCCTCCAATTGGCACAGTCGCACACGAATGGTTCATGGGCGTCGCCGCTATCACCGGAGATTACAAGACGGCTACGACGACTGCATTAAACCATTGGGTTGACTGTTTCGGAGAAGGCGTTCTAGGAATTGCACTCACGGATACCTTCGGCACGTCTGTCTTTCTGGGATCCTTCAAGCAACCTATACCCCGCATGACGACCACCGGGGATGGCAAGACCTCCGAGGTACCTCTGGAAACTTCTTTGGACAAGATCGATGGAAAAGCAAAGACTTTTGCGGACGTTTTCGCTGGCGTTCGACAAGACTCTGGTGACCCTGCCGACTTCGTTAAGATTATGCGACGGTTTTATGATGAGCAAGGAATCAAGGACAAGAAAACCATTGTTTTCTCTGATTCTCTAAATATCGACCTATGCATACAGTACAAGAAGATATCCGACGATGCTGGTTTCAACACAACTTTCGGTGTTGGCACTTTTTTCACCAACGATTTCATCCACCAGAGTACCGGCACCAAGTCTACCCCACTCAATATTGTCATCAAGCTCGGCTCCGCAGCAGGAAACCAAGCTATTAAGATTAGTGATAATATAGGAAAGAATACAGGTCATAAGGAGACTGTGGAGAGGGTGAAGAGGGAGTTGGGATATGTCGAGAGAGAGTGGAAGGGTGGTGACGAAGCTAGTAGATGGGGAAAAGATGGCGAGCCATTAAACACCTGAATCTTGGGATAGCTGGATCTTGACTTTTTGGCATGCATGGATGGCGTTTCTCGGCGGCGGCGTTCTTGGGAGGACATTAGATATTATAGATAGCGGGTTCTGATATCTCTAGTCTACGGAGCACTCTATACTGTATAAAATATGTTATTGGAGAAGCTTAATGCTGCATTGCTGGCTCCTTCTCTGGCCTCTCTTTTGCTCATTGGGTTGAGCTGTGATATCCTTAGTCTTCCTCCGTTGAAGAGATACACTCCTTATATCTATCCTGTCCAGCATATATGTTTAGAATCCTAGCTATTTTCAAGAGGCTCAGAACCCAATACCCACGCACCTTGCGTCGAAATGGACATTAGGGGTTTGCTTCTGCAATATCTAGGACATCCGTCTCAAGATTCAACTCCAGCCACTTTCCCATCACCGCTAAAGGTCTTACGCAGCCTCCTACCATGTACGCGGATCCTAGTGCGGACAATTCCATATTCACGTCCTTGACTGGCTTCCCTTTGAAAATCATCTTGAAATCCTGGGCAATGTCTCCTACCTCTAAGGAAAACGGGTCGGCGCTTTCTTTTGCTGCTGGGATTTGCACATTAGAGATCTCCAAGTCCTTCAACCAAGAAGCAAGTAGTGCCTCGCCAGTCATTTTCACATAGGTCTCTCTTAGGCACCACATAGCATAGAACCGCCGCAGCTTTGCTTCGATGACCACGTTGCTTGACAATTCCACCACCTCTGGAACGCCACCTCCTGTCATGACCTTTATGTCGAGCTTTCTGTTCCTCCACTGACATCGTGACAGCGTATCCTTTGCATAACCCTCGATTTCTCCATCCAATATTCCAACCGACCTTGTCGAGACGGGCGATAATTTCATGTCATTCACTTCTGAATCTGCAAACACGTCGCTGTGGATATCCACCCAGGCGAAGAATCCCTCTTTGTCGATATTGGAACAATCATGAACTAATCTTTCATTCGCGCATACCACATCTGTCCCAACATCAACATGATTCTCGAATCCTATGGCAGCAATCAGGCTCACAATCCCCGCTTGATGGCTGACGTTGAAATCAATGTGCATGTGATCATCGCCTTCTGGAATGTAACACGGTTTCCCGTGTGTCGGCTGTCTAGATATCTTGCTCTTTGACCATGGCACATTGCAGTATTTTGTAATGACAAGATGCTTCAGTAGATGAGAAGCAAGGCTCATCTTAGCGTCTTTGACTTGGTAGTATCTGAGCACAGCTTCTTGCTCGGAAGAAGAAAGGAGAGCCAACGCTCGGGAAGCCTTTTTGAATCAGCATGGTGGAATAAAGTGACTGGTTTTAACAGCCGTGAATACAATACATACAACCGACTTCAGCTCTTGGACTTCATCCCTGGAGCGGCCCTCTGCGGTACGGGCCACAAGTTGCGTGTGTCGAGGAGCCACTGGACGATCTGTGGCTCCGCTTTCTTGTTGTTGTTTGAAGCCATTTCTATTACTCTTGCTTGCTACTTTCAAAGCATTGCGGGCTGTGGTGGGCTCCGCGGTAAATCCATGTTTTCAGGACAGTTTCCAGACTCGAATGACAACTGGCTGGTACCTTGGTACCTTGAAATAGACCACACGTGACTCTCGTACCAAATAACACTCCACGACTCAAAGTGAAATTTCAATTCTCTACTAAGTGGCACAGAATTTTTGCAAGATATCTAGGTTTTATTATATAAAATTAGAAACTGTCGTTTAAAAAAAACACTATTAAAAAAGGCCTAAGCACTATTGCAACACTAAATAAAAAAAAAGAAGGCAAAAATTGCAAAAATGTGGTGTTTAAGCTATGCTTAAGCGTTGGGAATTGAGCCCAACGCGGGGGTCGAACCCGCAACCTTCAGATTGCTTCTTGATATAAGAGTCTGACGCTCTACCGATTGAGCTGGGAAGATGTTAGCAACCATTCTCATGATTCATCTTCTAGACTGTAACATACCTAGCCGGGCAGGCTTATGTTTTTGAAACGCAAAGTGTTTGTTTTCGTATATACATACCAGAGGATGGGCGGGCCGGACAAGTGGGTCCTTGGCTTGAAATTTTGAAGAAGAAATTTTCGGCACCAATGAAACTCGACTATAGGGCAACTGGATTCTACTTAGAAACTATAGTTAGGTTACTACTTGCATGGTGTATTATCAGGTAATCAGGACATGATGAAGGACTGTATAGGTTAGTACAGAGAAGAAAATCCCATCTGATCCACCATGTCCGTGTCCGTGTCCTTGGTAATGTAGAGCTTCATTCATTCATTAGCCTAGAGATACTTTGTAACTGAGCAGCTGTTCCAAGTTCCAACACCCCTTCAACCAAAAGTCTCCGGCTTAGCAGCAGACCTAGAACGGACCATGGAACACTCGTCCGCGTAACAAGAAGACAGAAATGCCCATAAGATGTATTGAGCAATCCAGTCGATGTGCACCAGCATTGCATTCGTAGCTAGGTAGTTTGAAGTCAGTGAGGTTGTGTGTGAAAAGCCCACGAAGCATTACCCCCACGGGCCAAATGCCGATGACTGACTGTAGCTGCCTTTTGCGAGTAAATAATCAATACCTACCGTAGACGATCTTCTGCGAGTTACACATTAATGCTTGTATTGTGTACAATTCTGCTCTGCTGCTATTCCACAACCACAAGGGGCCCTCATCTAAGGTTTGCCCAGAACTTCATTCTTCATCTCTTTTTTGATCCTTGAAACTGTACCGACACCCCCATATACCAATGCAGTGTATATCTGTGCCACACTAGCTCCAGCATTCAAAATCTCAAGCGCCTGCTTCCCGTTTGTGATGCCACCTGTAGCGAATATGACTTTTTGTTCGTGTTTCCCCAGACCAACACCGGCCGCCGTTGATCCTGTGAGGGACTCTTTCACTGTAGGTTCATCCCTAGTTTCGGCACCCCCAACCAGCTTAGGTGATTTCGCCGGTTCCTTCTCATGGGGTGGAGGTGGTCCTTGGTCTAAAAGACGTTTATATCTCTTCACCAGTCCCAAAGTTCTCTCAAACATCTGCGGGCCTGAAAATCCACCTTGCTCGTCCAGTATTAGCCTTTCCTTGGCTGGCAAGTCAACATGGTTAGGGATGAGATTTTGTCTTCTTTTCGTCGTATTTCCAACTATAACTCCGTCGACCCCGCTTCTCCAAATAGCCTCCACAATTCCCTCGAGCTGTTCATCTTGGTCTTCATCAGGTGAGACTTTGACCATCACCCGAGGTTTTGTCTTCCTGTCTACAGATCTTGCTGCAGCAACCACACCCTCCAGTATTCTAGTTAGAGGCTCTACCTTTTGCAACGTTCGCAAACCTGGGGTGTTTGGGCTGCTGACATTTACCACCAATATATCTGCATAAGGTGCCAACTTTTCCACACAGTAGACATAATCGTTCTTCACAGCCTCGATGTCCTCATCTTTCGTAAGCTTGTTCTTGGCGACTTGCACAGCCAACAGTTTCCCCTCCACCAAGCTTCCGGCTGGAACTCCCGCTCCACCATTGAGAACAAATTCCTCGGCATCTTTGCCAATGCCGTAGCCATTATGATATGCGAAAAGCCGTACACGTTCCCTTAATCGCATAGCCATGTCCTCCGCGCCTAGAGAGTTCAGTCCGTATCGATTGATCAGAGATTTTTGGCTAGGCAGCCTAAACACTCGCGGCTTAGGATTACCGTCTTGCGGGAATGGTGTTGCTCCTCCCACTTCCACAATCGCAGGTCCTAATGCGAAAAGCGCATCTGGTATTTCTGCCAGCTTATCGAGACCCGCAGACGTCCCAATTGGGTTCTGTAGCCTCTGCCCAAATACTGTGATGCCCAAATCTACATCCTTCAAGTCTTGATTCTTGGAATTTCGTTCTCGGGCGTGGATGCCGAATGAGTACATTGCCTTCAGAGCTTTAGTTCCAATATGGTGTGCATCCTCGGCATCAGGTAAGAGCCACCGCAATGCGGGAACGACGAGCCATTGGTGTACACTAGCTCGGGTATCGGTGATATAGAGGTAGCTGAAGACGGCGAAAAGGGAGAGGGATGTCCCATAGAGGAGGTTCTTTAGTCGAGTGACGACTGAGCCAGCTTCTCGGGTTGCTGTCGATGCGGGGCGTCGTAAGAGCAGTGCGTTTCGAGGGAGAACAGCGACGGGTCGAGATTGAGAGAGTATAATACGCGTCGCGGGAGATTGATAGCTGCGCGCAAGGCGCAAGAATAGGACCGACATGTTAGAGCGTTGAAAACATGAGGTGTGGGTGTTCAATTGCTGTGAAGACCAGTAACTTAGCTTAGGTAGGTACCTACAGTACTGTACACTATAAAGGTGCGCGCGCTACAAAATCGTAATCCTCACTCACATCCCACGTCCTCACAGGGTGGCTCAGCTTCCTAAACAGCCAGCCGACAATCTACCGACAATCTCCAAGCAACGAATTCACAACACCATAAGAACCCCCAGTTTCATACATCGCTCATATACACAATCTTCCCTCCTCTTTTCTCCCCTCTCCTCCTCTTCTTCCTCCTCCTCTCCTTGAAGTTCCCATACCATACTACCCCCCGACCCTTCATCATGAAGGCAATGAAGAGTATGAATGTCAACCGGATGCTGGGATCTTTAAAGCGCAAACGTAGGATCGCCCAAAACCCCCCTTTAACACCGCCATACTAATACAATACTTTTCCCCTCCAGCCAGAGACACAGACGCCCCTGAAGGAGCTGGACCTACAGCTGGACCTGCAGACTCGCAAGCCGATACCCCAGAAGCAAATGCGCTGCGCAATGTTGTATGTGACAGCTTCAGGCTCCAGCCACGTACCGGTACTAATACGCGCAACAGCGACTGTTCTGCGAATCTGGTGGACCGAATGGCTCCGTATGGCTCCCCTCTGTCTGCAATGCCTCTAAGAGGTGACTGGCTGCTGATGTTTAATTCTCGCAGGGGGAAGAGGTGCTTTACCTCCCTACGATTGTCGAATCTTGCGAATCCTCCCCCTCCGCGGCAAAGGAGTCCGCGCATCTCATTCGAAAGTTCCTCTCCAAGGACAACTTTGCGAAACCTTATATACAATACAATGCCATCATGCTGATCAGAATACTGTCCGACAACCCTGGCAAGACGTTTACAAGAAACCTCGACTCGAAGTTCGTTCAGACGGTGAAGGAGCTGTTGCGATTTGGAAGGGATCCAAGTGTCAAGCAGATCCTTATGGAAACGCTCGAAACATTTCAGAGAGATAAGGCGAACGACGAGGGATGCGCGCAGCTCAACGAGATGTGGAAAAAAGAACATGAGCGCATGGTCAAAATTCACGTATGGTTTACTCTCCCCGTGCAGTGGATAGTGATACTGACAGCAGGCAGGGTCCAGCAGGTCCTCGAGTCAACGCTCCTCCTCCTGTCGATCCCCACAGCCAAAACTACTTTTCTCGGAACCACCACAGCCACCGACTCCCTCCTCCCCACGAACTCTCCTCCCGCATCGAAGAAGCTCGAACTTCGGCGCAATTACTTTCACAGACAGTCCAGAGTACACCGCCCTCCGAACTGTTGCAAAATGAACTCGTCCGGGAGTTCGCTGATCGCTGCCAGAGTGCGAGTAGGAGCGTGCAAGCATATATGATAGCGGAGAACCCCTCACCTGACAACGATACCATGGAGACTTTGATCGAAACAAACGAACAGTTGAGTAAAGCGATGAATCGACATCAGCGTGCGATACTGTCATCGAGAAAGGCTGCAGGGTTGGGCAATGGAGAGACTGGCATAACTCCTCCCAATGGGCCGCCTCCAGGACACATCGAGTCTGACTTTGCAGCTCCTCCTGGCCCTCCGCCAAACCATAGCAAGCCTTCGAGGAAGGATGTGGCTACAGCGCCACAGATACCACCCCCTGGCGATTACGCTCCAACAGACGTTGACAGTGAAAACCCCTTCTCCGACCCTTCTGAGATGGCCTCGAAGCCGGAGCAGAAGCCGCCCTACCCAAAAGACAAGCCTCCTACTGCTACAGGGCAGTTCAATGACAGGTTAGGCATTGAGCCATACCATCCTGGATTTCAGGATACGCAGAGCTACATTGGGAGACAGGAAAGTGCTACTGGAAAGCTCACAATGCACGCAGCTGGTGACACATCGGACGAAGACAATGTGAGGATTGAGGGATCTGGCACACAGCCTAGTGCCAAGGCACCAGTCTACCGGTATTGATCTATACTTGATTTAGACTTGGCATTGGCATGTATGGAGAATACGAAGCGGGGACATATTGAGCGTTGTAGTTTTCAGTTTCATAGCGGCATTCGGATACCAAATGACATGTTTTTTTCTGCATCCGGCGCAAGACTTATTTCATACCTCTCCCCGTGGGCAGGCATTGCTCTGCAGACGTCTGGAAGAACCGCCTATTTGCTGCGGATCTAGGTAAAATCTCGTCCTAAATAATTGGATGAAGGTTCAGGGCTTGTGGGATATTTGCACCAGGCTCTGGCAAGAACGGAAAACTTTCAAAGTTCACGGGAATGTCATCTATTATAGCGAAATGGTTCTCTATGTTCTGACATATTTGTTCGACAAGAATGATCCAGAGTTGAGTTAAATACTACAAGTACCTATCTAGACAAATAGATGAATCTGCCCCACCATGAGACGCGGGGTAACATATGCAAGTGCCGGACCGGTGCGAATACTCCTCAACCTCACATCAGGCACGATAACAATAAGCTTACGCCACGGCTACGACTACAGTACTCCGCCACTACTAATGTACTCCGAATTCAAGTATCGCTATACTCGAGTCTACTAGGGTCCGTAGAACTAGTCAGTCATTTGGTGATATTGCCCTTGGACCGAACTCCCGGCACATTCGTCGCTGGCCGAGGTATTTTGGTTAATCGCCGAGTGAAAGTGAAGGGCTGCATCGCATTTGGGGGAGAACTTCATTGAGGTAATATTAGACATACTCCTTTATAAACAACCCAAAATATCTACATTTCATTCCTTATGGCTAATCCTACTCTGCAGACTACCTACGAGCCCCCAGGCTCAAGTTCAAGCTCTACCTTTACCCTTTCCTTTAACCTTCCCGACTCGAGACCCGTTTCCCCATCACCCTCCCTCTTCTCAGAGTCCTCCCAAACGACAATGTCAAGCTACACTTCGAATTCGAAGCCTGCTTTAGCGCGACAGAGTACAGCCGAAGTGGCTGAACGGGATTACTTCCACGAAAACCCAGCTCCAGCGGCGCTCGAGGAACATACCGCCCAGGCCAAAGCGTTCATAGACTTCCACGCGGCTGCTGACAGACGCGTCGTCTTGGTTACGTCCGGAGGCACAACCGTCCCTCTCGAGAGGCAGACCGTCAGGTTTATCGACAATTTCAGCGCGGGTACACGAGGTGCAACGTCCGCAGAATACTTCCTCGAGGCTGGCTATGCAGTTATTTTCTTACACCGACAGTTCAGTCTTTTGCCGTACTCTCGCCACTACAGCCATACCACAAATTGCTTCCTGGATTTCCTCCACGAAAGTTCGGATGGCAGCATAGTTGCCAATGAAGAATACCAAGAAAAGATGCAGAAAGTCCTCAGACAGTACAATGCTGCCAAGGAGAGCAACCTACTCCTGACTCTCCCCTTCACGACTATCAACGACTACCTTTTCGTCCTGCGCTCCATCTCCCAGCTCATGCGCACCCTAGGATCCAGTGGTTTGTTATACCTCGCTGCAGCAGTCTCCGACTTCTTTGTCCCACCGGAGCGAATGGTTGAGCACAAGATACAGTCCACCAACGCAACAGACGTGCAGAAAGAAGAAAGAGATGCTGCAAGCAACGAAGAGAAGGAAGAAGAAGTATTTGACAATTTCGATTCTTCACCGGCGGTGCCTCGAAGCAAACGTTTGATTGTCGACCTAGACCCCGTCCCGAAATTCTTGAAGAACTTGGTAGACGGTTGGGCACCGGAAGGCATGATTGTATCCTTTAAACTAGAGACAGATCCGGAAATATTGGTGCACAAAGCACAATATTCGCTAGAACGGTACCAACATCATCTTGTGATTGGCAACCTACTATCAACGCGAAAATGGGAAGTGGTATTCGTGGCTCCTGGGAAAAAAGACACCTGGATTCGAGTACCGAGAAGTAAGAGGACTCGGCCAATCAGTGGGACGGTTAGTGCCAGCGATGGCGAGATTGGTGAGAAGCCTCTGGATCCCAAAGACCTGCCAGAGGGAGACCCGGAGATGGAGATTGAGGGTCTCATTATACCCGCAGTAGAGAAGATGCACACAAGTCATATACAAAATGCTGTAAGGATACCATTATGAGCAACTTTGCTCTGGAGAATAGCTCGCTAGTGTAGCTTTGGAATAATACTAGGGGCCTTTCTCTCTAACAGCTTTAAAGCTTGAATTGATGATCTAGAACAACCAGGATGTGATAAAAGTATATACAGGCGATGGTTAACTGCTGGACCCGGGCTGGAGAAGCAAGATACTGTAACGAGTATATTACGCACGTGATCTCACCATTGTTTCACCCTTCTTTCTGTTCGAATTTGCAGGCGTTTCAGGCTTAAACGCTATGGCCTGTTCTATTCAGCCAGTGACTGCAACGTCTTGAAAACTCCAGCTGTTCAACTTCTCGGAGAGTCGCTGGCGATAGAAATCAGACGATCAACTCATAATAACCCGTTGTCGTCAATTCACATCTGATGGCTCGCTCATCCGCCCTGAAATCACCAAAGCCCGTACAGAAGTCCTCTGAACACCCCTCGTTGACCCAGGAAAGTTTCGAGAATGAATTGAGAGAATTGGCTGCAAAGGCTCAAGAAGAGACGTGGACGAAATGGGTGCTTCAGCAGGCCTGGATCCTCATTCAGTCGGCTGTCTTATTGACCCTGGCGGCCGCATACTCCAACGTATCCCTACTCACTCTATCACCGGTCTATGGCTCCATTCCATCTTCCATATGGCACTCCAAAGGCGTGATGACTGCGTGTTTCCTGGGATGGTCCGGCAACCTCTTCGTGAGGCGGCAGTTGCCAGTGAAGCCGGTCAAACTGCTGCCCTTCATCGCGGCATACATCCCAGTCATGCAATTCTCCCTTTTTCGCATCAGTGGCTTCATGGGTGCGGTGTATGGACCCATCATTATTGAGAGTCTCACATTCCTTCCACTTCTTCTCCTGTCCGTCTCGTGTACCGCTACCATTCTGGATGACCTGGAGCTCAATCCAGGCCGTGTCCAATGGCTGTCGGATGCAATGCCAGGCATTTGCTCATACGCATTCTACAGAACCATGGAATACTTCACCGGCCACTGGACTCTGCGTGTCATTGGGAAAGACTTGCTTCATTCCCGACTTGGGCTGCAATGTCAACTTACAGCGCTTTACTCTATCTTTGCTCCCTCAAAGCTTCTTCTGTACGCCTTGCCGGCATTGCTGCACACATCCATCTTCAACTACCACGTGCCATACTCATACACGACGTCTGCACTGAACTCTACGTTGAGCAAGTCTGGGTGGTCGCTCATCGATCGCGCCGAGTCACTCACTGGATACATCTCAGTCTTTGAAAGTGACAAGCAAGGATTCCGGGTCCTGAGATGCGACCACAGCCTGCTTGGCGGTCAATGGCTCGCAGCGCGAGCAACACATGGCCTCCCAGAGCCAATTTACGGGGTTTTTGTGATGTTGGAAGCTGTCCGGCTGATGGAGGTGCCAGAACGAGTTCCCGACTCGGAAGCTACAGCGTTGGTGATGTGAGTGCTGAAGCCGCCATATTTTAAGGATTAGCTAACACTTGACAGTGGCCTTGGTATTGGTACGACTCCTGCGGCTCTCATGGCCCATGGTATCAAGACAACGATCGTCGAGATTGATCCTGTTGTCCATGAGTATGCGACCAAATATTTTGCGCTACCACCTGATCACACAGCAATTATTGCTGACGCAGTATCATACGCCGATGCAGTGGCTCGGTCTGGTGAACAATACGATTATGTGGTTCATGACGTATTTACTGGTGGTGCAGAGCCTGTCGAGCTTTTCACCGTGGAATTTATCCAGGATCTGAGGTCTATCTTGAAGCCAAGCGGGGTAATTGCCATTGTGAGTGTCGACCATATTTCCACACTCGTATTTGAGAGTTCTAACCATGTCTAGAACTACGCTGGTGACCTGCTTCTCCCATCCGCCAGGATCATCGTCCAAACCATCCGGACAGTCTTTCCCACCTGTCGTGTCTTCCGCGAATCTGAGCCATCTCCTGAGAGCATTGCAGCAGATGGCAGAGACTTTACTAATATGGTCATCTTCTGCACCAGTGCAGCTGATATAGTTACGTTTAGGAGTCCAAGCGAAGCGGATTTCCTCCACAGTGGGGCAAGACAGATGTTTCTCATGCCTCAGCATGAAGTAGATGAGCGGGTTTTCACAGAAGTGAAGGCTGACGGGGGTATTTTGAGCAGGAATGATACCGAGAGATTTAGAAACTGGCAGCAAAAAAGTGCATTGGGTCACTGGGCTGTGATGAGGACCGTGCTGCCGGATATGGTTTGGGAAAACTGGTGAGGCAGATGATTTATTTAAACGCTGAAGAGAATCGTCACACTTAATGGTTTATTCAAGTAAAGTCGTGGGGTATTTAATAAATGATCTTCTACGAAGAAGATCTCTTCACTTCCCTTATCACTTCTTCACAGCGTCCTCCCAACTTCCACCCGTCAACTTCTCAAAAGCCTCCCTATACTTATTTGCCGTCTCTAGCGCAATATTCTCCGGCATTCTCACCCCCTGCTTTCCCTTCAAGCCCTCCTTCACCAACCAATCTCTCAAATACTGCTTATCAAAACTCTCCTGCTCCCTGCCAATCTCATATTTATCGGCCGGCCAGAAGCGACTCGAGTCAGGTGTTAGTACTTCATCAACAAGTACAACCTGATCAGTCTCCTCGTCCAAACCAAACTCGAACTTCGTATCTGCAATAATGATACCCCTATCCTTTGCGTAATCCCTAGCAGCAGTATAGAGACTGAGAGCGAGTTTCTCAATCCTATCCGCGTACTCTTGTCCTACAATCTCAGCAGCTCTCGCGGGAGAGATGTTCTCGTCGTTCTCTCCGGCCTCGGCTTTCGTGCTAGGCGTATAAATGGCGCCTTGAGGGAAGGCCTGCGACTCCTTTAGACCTACAGCGATGGGGATGGAATGCACGGTGCCGGAGACTTTGTATTCCTTCCATGCGGAGCCGGTGATGTAGCCGCGGACAATGGCTTCGATAGGGAAGATCTTGAGGCGGCGGACTTGCATGGAGCGGTTCTGCAAGAGGGCATGTTGGGCTTGTGGGATTGAAGAGGGGAGCGAGAGAGTGATGAAGTGGGTTTGGAGGGAGGGCAGGAGGGTTGGAAGGACGTTGAACCAGTGGGCGGAGAGGAGATTGAGGAGTAGGCCTTTGGATGGGATACCCTAAAATAGATAAGTTAGTAGGAGACGGGAAGAGGAACGGGTATCTGGAGGGAGGGACTCGTACATTTTCCATGATTACATCGTAGGCTGAGATGCGGTCGGATGCGACAAAAAGGAGCGTCTTTTCGTCAACCTTGTAAAGCTCTCGCACCTTGCCCGTAGCAATCTTGGGCAGGGCATCGACTGATAGAGTGGTGACTGCTTTAGTATTTGACATGGTGGTGTTTTTCGGTCGTAAGTTAAAAGTTGGGCGTGAAGATGGAGACGGAGATGGTGATGTAGATCTAGATGTAGGCAAATTGAGTTTTTTTATAATCGTGGCATTGGAATTCACACAGCAGACGTGAACCCGACTATAAAAGAGTTACTGGGAAGAGGTTTTGGTGGTTGTATACTTGTACGAGTTGTACAGAAGACCTACGACAGAACTGTGCTTGGTGGGGATCCCTGTAGAAAACTTTTACCCCACCAGCCCCTCCAAGCTGCACTATTTTATGTAATTATGCTATGCCATGTTATGCATGCACAAGGTACCCGTACTGTGCATTGCTACCTATTTCGAGGTATTACTAAAGCGGTCCGCCCGGCCGTTGCGAGTAACCGCAAATGGACGATCCTGGCTGAAATGGAAAATGCAAAACCCTTCATCTCAGTAGTTACCCCGTACTCTTCCGCTCCTTCCATTCATTCCTTCACAACTCTGCAACACCACACCAAGCCAATCTTCCTCGAATTCCTTTCTTTTCCTTCTCACATTCGTTTGTAATTAATCACAGCTTCAAACCAATTCACATTCACGGTCACGAGTCACGAGTTACAACAGCAACAAAAGAACAACATCAGTCTTGGCCTATAGCAACCTAGCCCTGTTGAATACGAAGACAAAGACATTCCTATAACCGCCTGATCTCACCCATCATTGCCACCACATCGCATCACCACATACCACATCACCCATCTACAGCCGAGTGCATATCATAACCCATCTATCGATCCATCTCTGCACTCACAAACACCATCCATCCGTCTACCGCCTTTGCTTCGCACACACAACATGTTGTCACGGCCTCCACTCCGGATGCTGTCCATCCTCGCGCTCCTTCTCGCCCTCACACAAGCCGCCTGGCTAGACTCTGTGAACATCTTCGGGCGGGAAGATGCAAAGAAGGCAGTCTCTGCAACGGCTACCTCGTCGGCGGAGAGCACATCGGCCCAAGTCTCTACATCAGCCACATCCGCGGCAGCGTCCACCACAGCAGAAATCAGCACCTCTGCATCTGCCACTCCTTTGACAACGTCTAAAGCAGACTCAACCTCAACACCAGTCCAAAGCCCGACATCGAGCGCCGCTCTTTCGACCTCCGAGACTCCTACCACAGCGGCTGTATCCACTAGCTCGGACGCTGCGCAAACAACATCGGCCTCCGACGCCGCGTCGTCTTCGTCGTCCGAGGATGTCAAGACCACCTCAACCGAGGATTCCAGCAAAACTACCCAGACCCCGGAGGTTGTTACAACCACGAGCCAGTCTGTCAATGTTGTCACAGCCGTTTCGACCGTCAGCGGTTCCCAAATCACCTTCACATCATCTTCTACTGCTGATGTTGTAATGACTGCTACCAATACCGCGGCTCTCGCCAGCCAGACTAGCAGCAGCTCCTCTAGCGGCATGTCACATAAAACCAAAATAACAGTTATTGGTGTGGTTGTCGGTGTAGGTGGTGCTATTGTGCTCGGAGGGCTGTTCATCGTCGCATGGCGCATATGGGGGAGGAAGAAGAGTAGTGATGAAGGCGACGGATTGATGGGATTCCAAACGGGAAGCGCAGGGCATGAGAAGACGGGCAGTGTTGGTGGAACCGCGCAGGCCAATCCTTTCCAGAGCACGCTGGAGAATTATCACAACCCGGCGAGGACCAACGTCAACGCATCGTCCAATTTTTGAGTGAGCGCCTGCATTTTCAAAGAGCGAAATAGAGAGTAAAATAGCATAAATAAGCGATGGGTATGGAATACAGCATCTTGTTTTTGGTTGCGAATTGCTTGTCAATAGTTGGAAATCTGGCCTTTGAATTGGGGCTGCATAGAATGGGTGTCATTTGGAGCAATCAAGCATAGAATACTGTGGTTTTTTCGATACTCTATCAGCGTCGCTGCAGGCGGTAGTCAGTTTGAACTATATTTTAATGACGTTTAGTAATCGCATGATAGACTTTGATGAACGTAAGGGTTCCCATGTGCAGTGAGAAATTATACTCCACATATTTCAACCTTGATGTCCTTCAGCTAATCCATCATTGCCTTGGTAGTAGGACCAATGGAGTCGATTTTAATCATTTGTTTCTTCATAATAGAGACCTTGAATAGATTTCATATCCAATACCTCGGCCCTCGGCCTCTGCCTGCTTGTACTTGTATTGTATTGCCCTCTTTGGATAGGGGGAGTACTCGTCGATTCGGCTAGGGAGGCTTCTCCGTCGTAGGTATGGCTGGCTGATGGTAGCCAAGAAAACAAGTCCGTGGCCCTCAGAGTATCTATTCCTAAGAGTGGGAGAATATACGCACCTTAGACATGCAGCGGCCCTTACACCTTACAGTATATATCAAATTGAAGCTGTTGAAGTTACGCCGCAGGCTGGCGTGCTGGATACATGACCACGTGCCCTTCGATAAGAAATATACCCCGCCCTCATCCCACCCCGCCCCGCTATCGGTCTGAAAATAATCTGGGAGGTAAAGGTACGTCTCCCCTTGCTTCATCATCCAATCCCTCCTTGAGATCGGCTGCAGTTCCATCAACCTAACATTCGTTTGTAGCAGACTCGATCATGCCACCCCCACAAAGCTACCCTCCCGAACTGACGGCCGCGGAATCCGAGCAACTGCTGTCCACTATCAAAGACTGGTCTATTGCCCATGGCTTGGCCGTGAGACCACCACTCTCTCTCGTATCCGCCGAGACAGATCCTCATGGGGTTCTGGCAACCACTGCTCCTGTCACCTTATTTCCAAGCCCCTTTCCTCGTGTCTGTTTCGAGCAAGCAAAGTCAATACAGCGAGCATATAATCACTTATACGCTTTGATTGCACAGGATGAAGAGTTTTTGAGGGACATTGTGCAAGAGTACGTTGGCTTTCTTATTTGAGCTAGATAATTCTTCTGTTCTCTCCCATTCTTATGGCAATAACGCGATTATTAGCCGTAGCTGACTAGAATTTAGAATTCTTGAGGTTGACGAGTTTATTGCTGAGTTATGGCAAGTCCATCTAAAAGTCAAAGAGGAAGGATATGTTCAGGTGCGTCCGAGCATAGACTCGTTGGACTTTGCTAAAGCCATCATAGAGTCTCTCCCTGGGGCTTTTCCGGTCAGATTACATGGTCCATCAAGCTACCAATGATGAGCCCCCCGTCATAAAACAGGTCGAGTTTAATACCATTGCTTCTTCATTCGGTGGCCTGTCGTCTCAAACCTCCAACCTACACAGGTATGTGCCTGTGGCACCTTGAAAATTGTCTGCTTGACTTCTAGTTCTATTCCACGTGATTGACTCCCCTTAGACATCTTTGCCTCGCCGATTATGGTCTGCTGGAAAATCCATTGTCCACGAAAGAATTAGACCTCCCCGAAAACGAGAGTACAAAATCCTTGGCTTCAGGTATCCGGGCTGCTTACAATACGTATACTCAACTCGAGCCCATACATAACTGCTGTGTAATCTTCTTGGTGCAAGATCCCGAACGGAATATCTTTGATCAACGGTACCTCGAATTTGAACTGCAGCGGAATGAGTCTCCTATTCCTGTATTCCGATTACCATTTGCCAAAGTCCTCTCCCAAACCACTATAGCCAATACACCTCGAAGGCAGCTTCTGTACCACCCGCCAAGCAATGCCTCCAAAATCTTCGAGGTTGCCGTCGTTTATCTACGTGCAGGTTACGGGCCACAAGACTATCCGGATTCAACAGCCTGGCAAGCACGCCTGCAAATTGAACGGTCAAACGCCATCAAATGTCCAACCATTCTTACCCAACTTGCCGGCGCGAAGAAAGTCCAACAAGTGCTCGCAACACCCACTTCTTCCTCGGAACCCTCAATCCTTACACGATTCTTGAAGAACAGCACGGATGAAGTTGACAACCTCTCCAAAACATTTACCAACATCTACCCGCTCGACGACTCGCCTGCTGGCCTTGAAGCTCGCAAATTAGCGGTCGATCCAGAGCGCTGCAAAGGCTACGTTTTAAAACCGCAGCGCGAAGGGGGAGGAAACAACATTTACCGGACCGCGATCCCACCTTTCCTGAACTCACTCCCAGAAACACACTGGAAGTCGTACATCCTAATGGAAATCATCATGCCCCCTCCAGTTCGCAACCTGATATTGCGGAACGGTGTGATAGAAAACGGGGGAGTGATTTGCGAATTGGGAATTTATGGAACGTGTCTGTGGGACCAGACGAGTAGAGAAGTGCTCCATAACGAAGAAGCGGGGTATTTGCTGAGGACCAAGGGGGACAAGAGTGAAGAGGGTGGAGTTGCGGCGGGGTTTGGAAGTATGGATAGCTGCAGACTAATTTAGGTGCATGTGCCGGTACTAGATACTCTGCTGTAGCATGTCTGATAATTTACGTAAACTTGGCTACATCTTATTTAGATTGTAAGGGTGCTATACGGAGTATATCATATCTTGTTTTCAAAATTCAATGGTGCTTTACTGTACCAATAGGAGAAAGATAAAATAGGGGTAGGTTATTCTTAGAACAAGAGATCGGCTCTACCCGAGCCCCTGCACAGCTCAGCCTCAGCTTAGCTCTGCGACAAGGCTTCGTACCTGCAGCTTCGTAAACACGATTGAGATGTGGACACTCTTCGCAACGCATCAAAAACATTCATAGGATCCCTCCTCAGGTCCAGGAAATCTGATAATTCTATCAACCTATTCACATAAATCAGCCTCCCTCTACAAGTACTTTTCAAAACCTTTCAAAGAACAAAGGACAATCAAGCTAATTGAATACAAAAGCCCCAAGGCCTTCCCTCAAACAGATTGACCATACCATTCAATATCCTACACACTCGCAGATACATACACCAAGTATCAAAATGAGCACCCCAACCCCAACCCCCACCGTCGACGCGACGACCACAGCCCTCGACTCCACGCACCTCAACGGCACCTCCGCAGAAACCGAAGCCGGCCTCTTCACATCCGACCTCGTATCCCCGACCATCGCCGCCTCCCTCCCAGACACGTACACCCTGCGCTCCCTCCGCAAAAGCGACTACGCGCGCGGCTTCCTCGACTGCCTGCGCGTCCTGACCACGGTAGGCGACGTCACGGAAGCCCAATGGGACGAGCGCTACACGTGGATGAACACGCAGGGTAAGGGGGGTTACTACCTGCTGGTTGTAGATGATGGGACGCGGATCGTTGGGACTGGGGCGTTGATCGTGGAGCGGAAATTGTACGTCCTTTTCTACTTGGTTTTGGTTTTATTTTGGTGTCTGAATACATGGCTGATAAATTGGAAACAGTATTCATAATCTAGGCATCGTGGGACATATCGAAGACATCGCGGTTGCGAAAGACCAACAGGGGAAGAAACTCGGGCTGAAGATTATCCAAGCGCTGGACTTCATTGCCGAGAACATTGGCTGTTATAAGAGTATATTGGATTGTAGCGAGGCGAACGAGGGTTTTTATGTCAAGTGTGGGTTTAAGAGGGCGGGGCTGGAGATGGCGCATTATTATGAGGCGACGAAAAGTACATGATCCTTGGGTTGGGGTTTGAGGGCATATGTGTTGACTGTAAATAGGGTCTGTTTTGTAGGTTTAGAAAGATGGAAGGGAGGGGAGCAGGCAAGATTCTCAAGGACATAGAAGGCATTGCATATGGGATCATGAAAATATACGGTTTGCTTTATTCTCTAGGAATATCTGATATTGGAGTCTTATTGCAAGCGTGGGTACCGTGGTCGCACTGAGAAAGGTTTGTCTTTTCTGTACTTGTACTGGCATCCAGGTATGACGAGCATGGTGGGGTGAAGCTAGCGCTACAATCATGCCAATCATAGCAATCAGCTTGTGTGTACGGAGTACAGTAATACTCCGTAAGATACGAGTAAGTATCCCAAGTACTCGTACAAGTACTTGGTAGACGCACAGCTCTTTCTTATCGAACTCAGCCTTTTCCAAATCCAAATCCATTTCTTGTGCTTGTTCTTGTTCCACCCAACCCCGCACACCCCGCCAAAATGACAACCCCGCGAGTCTTCGTCGTCCGCCACGGCGAAACAGAATGGTCCCTTAATGGCCGACACACGGGTACCACAGAGCTGCCTCTGACTGCGAATGGCGAAAAGAGAATCATAGCCACGGGTCGAGCGCTGGTGGGTGACGATAGACTGATTGTGCCCCGGAAGCTGGCGCACATGTACGTACCCCTCCTTTCCTCTTTCCCCTATCTCTACTCGTACAGTACACGACTTGGCTTGTGTACATCAACGCACAGCATATCGTTAACAGTAATGCACAACACAGATACGTAAGCCCGCGCAAACGCGCCCAACGAACCCTCGAACTGCTCTCGCTCGGCTGCCGCGAGCCACTGCCTTGGGTACAGCAGCGCTCCCCCGACGCTGATATCCGGACCGAAGCGTGCGTGCAGATTACCGAGGACGCGCGGGAGTGGGATTATGGGGATTATGAGGGGGTGACGAGTCCGGAGATACGGCGGAGGAGGGCGGGGGAGGGGGTTGAGGGGGGCGCGTGGGATATCTGGAAGGATGGATGTCCTGGTGGAGAGTAAGTTGGTTCGATTCGGTTTTCACTTCTCTGATGTGAATTTGTGAAGGAGGGGCCGGGAATTGAGATGAGTTGAAAGCTGATTTGGAAACGAACTACAGGTCTCCAGAACAAGTCACAGAACGCATAGACCGGCTCATAGCAGACGTGCGCTCACGATTCCACGCGCCCGCGCTGAACGACAAATCGCTGCCAGGCGACGTGCTGATCGTGGCACACGGCCATATATTGCGGGCTTTCGCGATGAGGTGGGCGGGTAAGACATTGGCTGATGGGCCGATCTTCTTGCTTGAGGCTGGTGGTGTTGGTACGTTGAGCTATGAGCATAGGAGGATTGAGGAGCCTGCTATTCTTCTGGGAGGTAGTTTTATGGTGGATATTATAGAAGATGTTGCGGCTGGGAAGAAGTGAAGGAGGGGGGGTTGTATAGAGGATTTTTGGAGTAGTTTTGAAGGATCTAGATATATCGGACAGAAGTTTAAGATGCATATACGAGTAGATTCACGAAAATAGACACCCTAGAGTTGGCCGTACTCAGACTAGGTTTCAAATCTCAAAATGGGTATCAACAGTTCGTATCCATTTGGTTTCATCCTCATACCTCATGCCTCGATTCTAGATCTACAAATCTGCTTTGAATAGGCACTTCTAGACTTCTATTCTGCCCGGAATTGTGATCTCACTCGCACGCATCTCATCAAAGCTCTCCTCACTGCTATAGCCACTCGAGCGCTTTTCCTCGGTCCCGACCAGATTCTTGACCAAAAGCCCACCCTCCTTCATGATTTCCCTACTCACCTCTCTCTCCTCTAGAGGATACTGCTTCCCTTCTCCTAGCAGTGTGTGCCGATGCCATTCTCCTACAAACATACCCTCCGGATCAACATTCTCCCTAATCCGCTTCCACTCCGCCAGGCGGTCCCCATACATGCTCTCGATTTCTTTTGCGCCGACCTCGAAGTTCTTCGCCCAATGAGGACGACCTCCCAGTTCCTTCATGAGGTACTCGAAGCCTTGGTAATAGCGGAATCGGCAAGGAGGATCGCTGTCATACGGTCTGTATATCGTAGCGTTGAGGTATAGTGTTGGTTCATCCGTACAAGTCGGATCGAGATGCGGGCGTGGTGTAGTGGATTTAGCAGTATCTGTGATTCGTACTTCAACAGGAGCGTGTACATATAGTCCCTCTGCTGTATACGGAATACCGTGCTCGATGTAGTCTGGATCAGAAGGGGAAAGCTGGTTGAGCCATGAACTGAGTCTCCGTAGAGCCTCTGGTCCCTTGTGCAGAGGAAGTGCCCACTCGTTCACAAACTGGCTGTACAGACAATTCATAAGTAGTGCTTCTCTTGAAGGCTGAATCGCCGACGTGGTAGTGCCACTCTGGAATCCATATTGCATACCAAAGACGAACCACTCCACCCACGGCAGAATTCTAGGGAAATGCTGTCCAAGGTAAAGCAGATTATGGTAAACATGATACCCCAACCAAGCATCATAATACGAACCCGCGGGTTGTTTAGGCTCCTCGTCCGTCTTTTCTGCAGTCCAAACCACCCCTCTTCTCGTGTACGGAAACCACCACACCCGGACGAACTCGGCCTGCGTCCATAGCTGTTTCGGCCAGTCTTCAAACAACACCACGTCACGATCAACAACCTGCTTCCAGCGCAGGGTGAACGCAGGCACAGCCTGAAAGGTGATTTCGCTTATCACACCCAGCGCTCCTAGACTTATCAACGCCGCACGGAACAGCTCTTCATTCTGTGTAGGAGAACAGGTCTCTGTTTTTCCACTCGCAAGGGTGATCTTCAAACTGAGGATGCTGGCTGACAAGAGGCCATGGCGCAGCGAACTCCCATGCGTGCCGGTTGAGATGGCGCCTGCAATACTCTGCTGATTGATACTCCCTAGATTCGGCATCGCCAGCCCGACTTTATCCAATTCTGCTCCGATCTGGTACAGGCGTATTCCACTCTCCATTCTCACCACCCCGCTCTCCCTATCCACGTCCAGGATCTTGTTGTAATCATCGAGATTGATAAGCCAGGAAGAAGTGCTGGTGATAGAGGAAGGAGAGTGGCCGCAGCCGATGGTGGTGATATGTTTACGGCAGAGGCGCGCAAGAGTCACGGCGCGCTCAAGCTCGGGGAGGGTGCGAGGGCGAATGTAGAGGGAGGGCTGGAAATGGAAGGTTCGCGCCCAGGTGGATTGAATGTGATTTGGGGACGCGCGGAATGGAATGGGAATAGAATCGGTTTCGGAGAGCTTGGAGAGCTCGTGTTGGACTGAGGGGTCCATTATGGCTGGATGTCCTGTAGGCACTTGCTTGTACGGCGGGGTGGTAGTGGAAGGTTTGGAGGTGAGTGAGAGGAAAGGGAAGAGGGAGAGTGGGAGAAAGATTTGGGGGAGTTGAATTGCCAGCTAAGGTGACAGACAGACTATTGCATTTTCGCACAACACTCGTGCGTGCAGTCGCTGTGGAGTGGTGTCATTATTGAGAGAAACTTTGAAACAAACAAGACTTCAACTTCCGCAGGAGAGTGGAGTGGAGTGGGAGGGGCTTGAGGGGGTACAGTAGCTTTACATATTTTGGTACATCTAACACGTCATCACGTGCGTGGACATGTGCACAGGGCAGGACAGGTACTTGTCTTGTATGTACTTGTACCTCAGGCTTGAATTACTCTTTCTTTTCTTTACAGAATGAAGCATCTCGCATGTAATATCGCCGAGTATACTCGGTATGTACTGTACAGTATTGTATGCTGTTGTACAGTAGTACTGTTGACGAGTATACGGAGTAATTGCGGAGAAGGGAAAGAACTCTAGAAGGGTCTTCATCGTCATTTGGAGGCAAACCTCCGATCCTCCGATACTCCGAGACTCCGAGACCCCGAGTCGACCTGACCAATGGCGTTGTGGCAATAGGCCAATGGAATCCCAATTGGAAGTCGGGATCCCCTTTGATTTGTTCCGTCATTTCCCGCTGCAAACCTACCTTAAGCGAGGGGGCGGAAAACTTCATCATCTTCTTCCCGGGATCAACATCTTGGAAATATCTTGAGTCCCCGCCCACTTAAAACCATCACCAAACAACAGAACGCCCAGGGAATCAACAGAATACATCAGCGCACCCCATCCTCCGCGCCATATACCTCTGACTCCAACTGCTTCACAAACACGACACCAACCCACCTACAAACGCGATTTGGTCACAACCTCGTGCCGTATCTCGAATCTGAGCGCTAGCCCGGCGACCCGCACACGACCGAAGCACACGACCAAAATGAAGGTGTTTTCCAACTCAGAGACCTTCGATTACTCCTGGGAGGAAGTCTCTACTGCAAACTGGCGGAAGTACTGCCCATGGAACGAGAAGTCGACGCATGTCATTGCCGTTGACACCTTATCGCGGCATGTCGATGCTGAGACCGGAATTGTATGCTGCCCTCCACTCCTGCCTGAGATCTACTGAACTAACATGTCCTCAGCTCCGTACCGAACGCTTGATAACGTGCAAGCAAAGCGCGCCGAAATGGCTGGCTTCTTTGATGGGAGGAACAGACGTTTCTCACGTCTTTGAGACTTCCTACGTGGATCCTGAGTCAAAGAAAGTCACCATGGTCTCGCAGAACCTCACCTGGTCGAATATCCTGAGCTGTCAAGAAAAGGTCGTCTACCAGCCCCTATCAGCTACGAAGACACAATTTGTACAAGAGGCGAAGGTGACTGCGTTGTGTGGAGGTTGGCAAAAGGTTAAGAACGCCGTTGAGGAAGCCACAGTTTGCCGCTTCAGCGAGAATGCCCGGTTGGGAAAGGAAGGATTCGAGACTGTGCTGGAGATGAGCCGCAGAGTCTTTAGTGAAGAAAAGAAGAAGCAGACGGAGAGAGAGACGGTGGCGTTGTAGACGGAGCATCTGATGGATTACCGACACAATCACGACACTCACGACTTCACCTTTTTTATTAGAACTCGGCAGTGTTATTAAAAGTCCCTTTTCGGAGTCTGGGACATAGAGAGATATGGGTTTAGCAAGGAGTTCTGGGTTCACATGGAGAAGAGCGCCATAGACAATGATCTGCGTTGTATAGTAATAGATGTACCCTTAATTGCCTTCATTCTGCAGAAGAAACAAGGATCAAATAGAATAGAGAGCTGGAAGACAAGATCAAACCTTGCACAATATCTCAAAGCCGTGAAACATCACCTTTAATATCAATCCTACGTTACATATTGGTTAACATTGATCCTTTGCTGTTTTCGAGATCCTAGCTTTACACCTCTGCTCATAACCCACCACTACTTTCCTAAATCCTGCATCCAACTTCCCCTTCAAAACTCTAGCAATGACCTCCCCGGCCTCCTCATACCTCTGAAAGAAGTACAGCTCCTCGATGGCATGCAATATCGTCTGTGACTCAGGCTTTGACGGATGGTCAATAGGGATTTGGAGTGTTTTCCACAGCTTCATTTGTGACCACAAATTAGTATACAACCAAGATAATCATAGGAAATAATGTGTACCTCTCCGGTTTCAATCTTCGGCCTCCAACCTGCTCTCTGCCGTTGAAAGTCTTCCTCGGACTGGAAATCTCGTGGCACCTTGACGCTCTCGTTGGCGGACCCATCTGCTGAGCTGACTTCGATGTTAAAGAGGCCTCCATCTTCGTCGTCGTCGTCCATCTTTCTTGACTCTGCAAACGCTCTTTCTTGGAGGTTTCTTAGTTGTGTAAAGTAGTGTCACGCAGAGAAACAAATCTCTTATCCAGCGATAAGCATTTTGATGGTGATCACTTTAGACCGAGGCAGGGCAGGGCAGGGACCTTCCTGATATTTCAGCCGATGTTCGTTGGTTCAACCTTCACCTCGATCAAACTCTAACGATTTACGAATATGGAGTGTACTTGAACATCACAATACTCTATGGAAGAACAAGCCAATCCAGAAGACTTGGGGCAGTTATACTGTATCCCCATCTATGGCGCTGTGAGAAAGGAAAACCAGCTACCTAACTAATCCTATTCCTGGCTCAGTTCGTACTCACTCACTTGCCTTTCCTAGATATGTTTTATATATTCCATCGCTCGTCGTCGGCTTTGGAACATCTTGCCTCCAGCCTACGCTCACCCGTCCAGTCAATGGCAATCGATGGCTTGTAATGCTGCAGCATGATAGGTGCACATCCCAGACTGTACGCCGCCCCTTGTCAATAACACCCCACCATGGAATCCCCTAAGCGCAGGAACACACGAAGGCCGACGACAATTCTGCTCTGGTCAACCCTTAAAGGCAGGTTTGAGCGTAGAAGAAGTCTTTTAGTCAACCAAGTGGTCATGGGACGAAAGATAAGTTCATGCTCACATCTATCCGCATACACTTGCACTTAGAGGTCTAGTATAGACAAACAGACTTTTCACGAGACGTAGGTGTATGGTAGGTACAAAACAGTGGCCCTCCCCCACATTTCCTCCTCACACAACCTTCTCTTCTTTGCAGTGCAACAAAGATAAATCACCTACCTCCACTACTACTACTCCTACTACTCCGAGATATTGAACATACAAGCAATATCAGCAATCTGCAATCATGGCTCCCCACACAAATGGAACCGTTGATACCAATAACAGCATCCTCAAACCCACCGCCCCAACATTTCAACCCGTCGCCGCACTCGCAGACTCCAAGTACCACTCAACCTCCACAGCCTCAGCAATTGAAACCGAGAACAAGTACGCAGCCCACAACTACCACCCCCTACCTATAGTGTTCGCGCGCGCCCAAGGCTCCAGCGTCTGGGACCCAGAAGGGAACCACTACATCGATTGCCTTTCAGCATATAGCGCTGTCAACCAAGGCCACTGCCACCCGGAACTTGTCAAGGCATTGTGCGAGCAGGCAAGCCGGCTCACGCTCTCCTCGCGCGCCTTTCACAATGATGTATTCCCAAAATGGGCCGAGAAGGTCAAGCAGGTATTTGGCTATGACATGGTGCTGCCGATGAATACTGGTGCAGAGGCCGTCGAGACGGCCATTAAGATCGCGAGAAAGTGGGCGTACAAGGTGAAGGGTGTGGAGCAGGGGAAGGCGTTGGTATTTTCTGTTACGGAGAACTTTCATGGACGGACGGTATGCTTCCCTTCTATAAAACAAGATCAATTGACTAATCTGCGAAATAGATGACAGCAATCTCCATGTCTACGGATCCCGAGTCCCGCGACAATTACGGTCCTTACGTCCCAGGCGTTGGCGCCGTGAGCCCCTCGACCGGCAAACCCATCCGCTTCAACAACGTTCCCGATCTCGAGGCAGCTCTGGACGCCCACGGAAAAGACACCGCAGCATTCATCGTCGAGCCTATTCAAGGTGAAGCAGGTGTCGTTGTACCGGATGACGATTACCTTACCAAGGTCCAGGAATTGTGCAAGAAACACAACGTCTTGCTTATCTGCGATGAGATCCAAACTGGTATCGGACGAACCGGACGCATGCTTTGCTCGGAATGGGCGGGTATCAAACCAGATCTAGTCACCCTTGGAAAAGCCATTTCGGGGGGCATGTATCCTGTTTCTTGTGTTTTGGGATCGAAGGAGGTTATGCTCACTATTGAGCCTGGAACGCACGGTTCGACATACGGTGGAAATCCGCTGGGATGCGCTGTTTCTATCCGTGCGTTGGAGATCATGGAAGAAGAGGACTTGACCGCGAAGGCCCAGGCGCTGGGCAATTTGTTCAGACAGGGACTAGCGGATTTGAAGAGCCCGATGATTAAGTTGGTGAGGGGAAAAGGCTTGTTGAACGCTGTTGTTATTGATGAGTCGAAGACTGGGGGTCACTCGGCCTGGGACTTGTGTATGTTGTTGAAGAGCAAGGGACTGCTGGTAAGTTTACCCTATAATCTGCGTTCAAGATGGAAAATTCTAACATTGAACAGGCTAAACCAACACATGAGAATATCATCCGTCTCGCACCACCCCTTGTCATCACAGAAGAGCAAATTAAAGACGCACTACGCATCATCGGCGAAGCTATCATCGAACTCCCGAATCTGAAGGGCGCGAAAGAGCATGAGGTTATCCCCGATAGCGAAAAGGGCGTTCATATCCATGTGGACCTATAAGTAATACCCACCGCACGATAACGGCGTTTATGTTTATAACAGGACTGGGATTGGAATATGCATAGGTAGGCAAAAGGATTATTACAATTACGGGCACAAACTGCATTAGATAGGTTATAGACTAGACTCTAAAATTAGTTACGCTTTAAATCCGTTCTGCGCGTACGCCAATTAATCACCGCAGGGCCCACGCAACTTTTGACACAGCTGACTACTAATTTAGAACCAGGCCCTACGCGTCCACGGCGGGATTCCTCAGCTTATATTTCACGTATCTGCTTCGGCTACCTTGTTGCTTCTTTTGTTCAATTATCAACCCAACCACACTGTTTGTTACTGTGCTGAGGTACTGCATATAGGCGTGAAGCTTATTCGCAAACACGCACTTTATTCACTCGCATCCTCAATCATCGAACTTCAGCCGCACAAAATTGTCATGGCAGAAGATCATGTTGGGAGTAAGGCTTCAGTTGCCGCAATTATGAATGCCATCACCCATCGTTCCTTCCGACACTGGACCCGCGCAGTCTCCGTGGCATTCATTCTCCTCGCCGGCTACCTCTCTCTTCGATTTTTCTCTGGCTATCACGAATCTCCGTATCTCACCTCCCCGATAGATAGTGACGCCTCCGCCTCGGCGCCCGAACCTCCGCCAACCCTAAGTGTCAACCTGGTCCTAGCCTCCACGCAGAAGGACAACGTCGATTGGGCACACAATGTCAGCATCCCGAATGCAAATCTGAACATTATACGCTATGTTGCGGATGATCCAAATGCGCAGTATCACCCGCCGCAGAACAAGGGCAATGAAGCGATGATCATCCTCACCTACCTCCACGAATTCTACGACGACCTGCCAGACATATCCATCTTCACGCACTCGACTGATGGCGCCTGGCACAACGAAGAGCTCTTCGACTTGCGCATTGCGCCCGCGCTCAACGTTCTCGATCTCGACGAGGTCGTTCGCCGACAATACGTGAATCTGAAGGTCAGCGGCTATAATGGCTGCCCGGCATGGATCAATACTAGTATTACCAGTATTTCGTCGCCTGGTTACAGTGGGTTGAAGGAGGAGGAGCCCTATATGAAGGAAATCTTCCAGGATAATTTCCCCGGAGATGAGGTCCCGGAGATCTTTGGGAGTGCGTGTTGTTCGCAATTTGCGGTTACCAAGGAAGCCATACAAGCCAAGCCGCGAGAACAATACTTGCGACATCGAGATTGGTTGTTGAACCAGCAGTACCCGAATAATATCTCTGGGCGATTGTGGGAGCATTTGTGGGCATATATCTTCCTCGGGAGAGCAGTGGAGTGTCCGGTGGAATATAAGAATATGTGTCGCCAGTACCATATCTGCTTCGAGAACCAGGAGAGTTACGAGCGTTGGGTCAAGATGGAGAAAGAGCGGCTTAACTACGAAGAGAAGAAAAACAATCCAGAGTTGCCGAATCCGGATGAAGCTTCGGTGAAAGCGATGGAGAATTTGAAGTTCGTTATTACGAATATGAAGGAGGGGGCTGTGACGAGGGGTAAATCGGCATCGCTGAGGGAAAAGATTGCTGGTGATCTGCCCAAATGAGTTCTATCGAGTCAGTGAATAGAAGCGCCGCAGGATGGCACGATACAACTGGCGATCGAGGCAGCTGGACATGCCGCACCCTGGACTACTATGCCCCCATTGACGGTCTGCTACAAGACAGAAACCCAAGGAGCAAGTCCGAAAGCTCAATCGCCCTTCAATAGTCAACGACGACACAACATTCAAGGTCCCCGCCTGGAGTGACTCCTTCCTGAATGATGCAGCGGACTGCATCCAAAAATGATATCCAGCAACCCACTCAAAATTCAACCGCCTCAGCTGGCGACGGAGGTGATATATATACCCTGTGTATGCGTTCAAAATTGAGGGAAGATGTTCGAATATACCCGGGCTATTATTTTACATTGCAATACGCGGAAAAGGAAAGAAGAGGACCAAGTTGTCTGAGTGCTGGATACTCGAAAAAGAACGGGCATGTTATGCACTTGGTAAATATTGATGGAATTGGGTTGTCGAATAGCATCAGGGATAGGTTATAGACTGTTAAATATTGAGCTCCAGATTTCGAATACATATGATTGAATGCATCTTTTGCCTATGTTCCTGTTAACATCTTGGCTGACGCGGCGGCTCACCATTTCTCTAGCAATAAGTTTTATGTTTTACAGGTACAGGCTGTTGCAGGTAGACCTTGTGCTTGCTGCCACGTGAGACCCCTGCCATCGAATCAATGGACCAATGGCTCAAGCTCAGCACCTCGGCCCGCCAACGTCATACTGTATCTTTTGAAGCTCCAAGTGCCGGGAAACTTCACTTCTTCAATTCATCTTCAACACTTCGGCATCACCAACACAATGTCACTCCCACGCACTATACGGGCTGGCACACGTCCTACGGGACTCATCCCCGGAGCATTGGGGCCTAGATATGGGCAAATGATGGGCAAAAGGCACAAGTCTGGGCCATACGGTTACACACAGGCGAAAGCACTGGTGTATTCGAAATACGGCAATCCAGCCGATGTACTCTCGTATATCCTCCATTCCCTTAATACTCATCCTAAATACATTATCTACCTATGGTTATGCATCAGATCTCTAGCTAACACCCACTAGTCTTCACACACACTCCATAACGCCCTCGCTCCCCCCTCAACCCTCCTCCTCCGCACCCTCGCAACGCCCATAAACCCCGCCGACATAAACCAAATCCAAGGCGTCTACCCAGCCCGCCCCCCCTTCACCAGCCTCCTCGGGACCCCCGCGCCCTCGGCCGTCGGCGGCAACGAAGGCTGTTTCGAGATCCTATCTTCCCCCGCGCCCTCTACCAACCTCTCAAAAGGCGACTGGGTAATCATGCGTTCGACGGGCTTCGGGACCTGGCGCACGCACGCTACAGCTAGTCCGAACGACGTAATCAAGATATCCAATAAAGAAGGATTGAGTCCCATTCAGGTCGGCACCGTGAGTGTCAATCCGTGCACAGCGTATCGCATGTTACGGGATTTCGAGACGCTGGATCCGGGGGCCGGGGACTGGTTTATACAGAATGGTGCGAATAGCGGGGTGGGGCGGGCTGCGATACAGTTCGGGCGCTTGTGGGGGGTCAAGAGTCTGAATGTTATACGGGACCGCCCGGATGCGGCGGCGACGCAGGCGATGAAGGATGATTTGCTGGCATTGGGTGCTACGAAGGTTGTGACGGAGTCGGAGTTGATGAGTAGGGGCTTCAAGGACCAGGTTGCGGAATGGACGAATGGGGGACGGGAGAAGATCAAGGTGGGACTGAATTGTGTGGGAGGGAAAGCTACACAGGTTCTGGTGAAACAGCTGTCGAGTGGTGGACATCTTGTGACGTATGGAGGCATGTCGAAAGCACCGGTAGAATTGCCTACAGGGCTGCTTATTTTCAAGGATCTGAAATTCAGTGGGTTTTGGGTGAGTCGGTGGAGTGATGAGAATCCGGCGGAGAAGAAGAGGACGGTGGACGAGATTCTGGAGTGGACAAGGAAAGGGGAGTTTAAGGATATCCCGGTGCAGGAGATGAGATGGGATTGGAACACTGAGGCGGAGAAGCTCAAGGAGGGTGTGGCGGGGACTCTTGAAGGCTTTAGGGCGGGGAAGGGGGTATTTGTTTATGGTGATACGTGAATGAGATGCTGAGCTTTTGGCTCTTTCTAGATTGTGTGATTGTTTGATTCTTTTGGGAAGTAATACAGGATGCCATCGTTGCCCTGCGGACGAGAGCCCAACCTCAAAACCCTCGACCCCCTTTTACTACACTAGGATGACGCTCATGGGCGTCATACAGGATGCCATCGTTGCCCTGCGGAAGGAAGCCCACCATGAAAACTCCCGACCCCTATCTAACCTCAACACCAACTTATATCTTCTCGCCCTCCAAAATCGGCTTCGCCTCCGCACTCTTCCACCACCCCTTCTCCCCACCCGGAAAGCTAAACAGATCCATCGACTCGGGCTTCATCTCAACACTATACCCCGGCTCCTGGGGCGTCTGATAATACCCATCCTTGATAACAGCCGGATGATTGAAATGCTCATGCAAATGATCCACATACTCCAACACACTGAGTTTCCCACTCACACAAACATAATCAATCGTGCTCAGATGCTGCGTATATTCTGGCAGTCCCACACCGCCGCTATGCGGCACAATGGGGACGTTGAACTTCTTGGCCATCAGGAGGACGGCCAGGACTTCGTTGACGCCACCCATGCGGCAGGCATCGATTTGACAGACGTCGATAGCGCCACTGGCGAGGAGCTGCTTGAAGATGACGCGGTTCTGGCACATTTCGCCGGTGGCGACGCCGATTCCGTGGGGGCGTAGAGCGTCGCGGATGGCTTTGTGGCCAAGGATGTCATCGGGGGAGGTGGGCTCTTCGATGAACCAGGGTTTGAATTCTTTGAGCTGTTGCATGTATTCGATGGCTTCGGGGACAGACCAGACCTGGAGTTTAAATATCAGTATATGCAGATTGGTGTAAATATTGAGGAGGGAAAGAGGAGAAATACCTGATTCGCATCCACCATCAAAATATTTCCCTTGTCATACCCAATAACACTCCTCGCAATAGCCAACCGTCTCTTATCCGCCTCAATACTCGTCCCAACCTTCAGCTTGAAATGCCTGTACCCCTTACTCAACGTCTCCTCCAACAGTCCCTTCATCTTCTCCTCCCCATACCCAAGCCACCCTGCACTAGTAGTATATGCCGGCACAGCGCGACTATCCAACGCATCCTGCAACCTCTTCTCCTTGCCCTCCTCCTCGCCCTTCAACATCTGCACCGCCTCATCCGGCGTGATCGCATCGGTGATATAGCGGAAATCAATACAGCGCACAAACTCCTCCGGCGACATATCCGCCACGATTCTCCAGACCGGCTTGTTCAACGTCTTGGCCCACAGATCCCAGATGGCGTTTACGACCGCGCCGAGCGCCAGGTGAATGACGCCCTTTTCAGGCCCGATCCAGCGTAATTGCGAGTCGGAGACTAAGTAGCGCCATGTCTGGCCCCAGTTTGCGACGAGCGAGGAGAGCGTGCGGCCTTTGATGCGGTCGGCGACGTTGTCGATGGCTTTGCAGACGATGTCGTTGCCGCGGCCGATGGTGAAGGTCTGGGGGGGAATAAGAGGTTAGTATAATAGTAACAATGTAAAGGGAGAAGAGGTGTTAGGGGCATACCATGCCGTGACCGGAGAAGGGCGAGTCGGTCTTCAAGATGCAGTATGCGGCCGAGTAGTCGCCTGCTGCGTTCATGGCGTCCGAGCCTGTCTTGTCGAGAGATGTTGGGAATCGCACATCGCGCGTGTCCCAGCCTGTGATAGTGACTTCTGCCATGATCAATGGTGTATATGTGCCTTTGTGGTTGTAGGTAGGTGGGGTGCTTTTGTGCAGTTGGGGATGGTGGGGTAGAGTGGGGTTAATTGGAGATTGGAAAAGAGAGAATCTTCAAGGAAACAGGAAAACGAGGGAATCTTCACGAAACAGAAGAGAGAGATATATATAGAGAGAGAAAGACATATTGAAGGAGGGAAGGAAGATATATACTCCGCCAAAGTACAAACCCAGCTGCATTCTTTCACCCGTCGGGTTAATAACCATAGTACGGCAGATGGAGGGGAAATATACGCGACGTTTGATTGATGGAGAAACTTCCGGCGCTTCAAGCCCACACGAGTCGGCGCACTAGGAGTAGCATAGCATAGCGGCCCTCAATCTATTCGGATTTTCATTAGCGAACTCATGTTTAACCCTTAAAGTAAGTCGGCGATTGACGGGGTACTTGAACTAAGGAGTCTCCTTCTGATACTAGCTAATTCACACTTCAGTCTGGATTATCCCTTACAGAATGTTAGGGTTGTTAGTCTAGGAGAAGAATCTAGGCATTCGAGAGTTTGCGAAGAAGTAAGAGAGGGAGGGGCGTATCAAGTATAGATAGGGGCAGCCCAGCGTTTAATCACGTGTTTTCTCTGCTGAGGAATGCTGCTGAGGAATGCTGGAAAGGTGTAACGGAGAGCGGTGCCGTCGACGATGTTACAACTGCCAAGTCAGAGCAGCAGTGAATTCTCTTGCCATCCAGCCAACCGTTTGATCTCGCCGGAAGTTTGGTGACGGGGCACTGGCGAGAAGAAAACAATAAGGCCAAGCGGCCAAACCCCACGCTGAGCCTTGAAAGAGATAGATTGCACATCAATAGCACACAAAGAGATTAGGCGGAAAGAATAGGGTATATATTTGAGAACTCCTGCGCTGGGTATCTTGCTCTATATTGTACAATTATCCCAATATATTGTTACACAGAAAACGCTACTTGGCAGGAAGTCTCCGCTCTGGTGAGGCTCCTCCTCGTGGCCTAACATCGCCCTCTCCTGCAATCAACCGCCATGTACTGGCGATTATGTTGTCTTGGGGCGTGTGTTGCTACTGCTTCTCCTTTTTATTGAGCTTCTGCCACCCTCTCATTGTCCTTCTCAAGATACTCTAGATTGCTAGTCATATGCCACACCTGTAGAGTTGAGTACTCCTTCCCTTTTCGTTGTGCCAGTTAGCCTGGATTTGATATGGCGAGCGCAACACAATGCATGTGGTAAGATTCTGAAGTTTCCGAAGACAGAGGATAATCCACCAAACAATTGCTCAGGATAAATCTTTGACCAAAGTTTCATTCCATGGGAGCCAAGACTGGCTGTACCAATTTGGCGCGCACTTGACTTTCTCAGGCGGGCCTTTCCAGACAATCATATCATCCGTGCCATTGAGGTTAGACGACACAGTTCCCTTCTGTTTCTTGATTTTCCGCGAATTCTCGTCCGTATATTCGACGTTGACCGTCGGTATCACCGCAATCTTCCCGTATCCAATATGCCACATTTCCTTGCAGAACACAGTAGGTTCTCCCATATAACACTCTCCTTCAGCCGAGCGTCGAAACTTTATTTTTTGGTCCAGCAATGGCCGCGCGGTAAAGGCCGTTCCACCATTCCAGCAAGCATACACTTGGAAGGGCTTGTTATTCACGTATCGCTCGAGAGTCTCTTCGTTGTTCCAGAATAGGTTTTGAGAGCTGTCCCAACTGCCCGAATCGCTGACCTCGAAGAACGTATCGCCCTTGATATCGCGCGCAACCCAGACATCGTAGAAGGTCTCGATTCCTTCGTCCATCCAGTCCATCGCGCAAGTCATATCTGCTTTCAGGTGTATGCGCTGATGTACGAGCTCGAGTATGTCTTCCATGCAGAGCGAGACGTCGTTGAGGAATATCACGGTGGCATCGTTGGACCATTCATTCGCATTTTCGATTAGAGGTTCGAGGGCTTCGTTGCGCAGATCTGCCAGCATCTGTATGCGATCCATTTCTTCTGGGTTCTTGTCGCTTGAGTTGAAGTAATACGGGATCTGCTCTTCTTCGAGTGGGCCGCGCAACATCTGCATAACTTCATATGTTCCATCGGTTGATCGCCCTTCTATAACCGACAAGGCGCTTTGGTCTGGGCCAAGGAATCGTATGGTCTCGATTATTGAACCCAGGAGTCGGGGAAGTACTGGCGCGTTTTCATGGAGGTTTAAAGCGAAAAAGAATTGTCGTTTCGGGGCCGAGAAGAGGTTGTATTGAGTCTTGCCACGGAAAGGGTCTCGCAGATACTCATACCGACTGGTATTGAAAGTAGGGCATTCCAGTCTATCGAATGTGGTATCCTCGGGCCTCATGATGGCTTCGATATAGAGTGGGGCTTCTTTCATCAGTGTCGCATCGCCTGGTTTCATTTCTGGAGCAGGTTTGGTTGTAGGCGCCGTCGAATTGCCAGCTGTCAGAACATGTTAGCAGATTATATCGGAGCGCAGCCTTTGTCTTATAATACTTACATTTAACATGGCTCCACAGGTCTGTTGCTGAAGGCGTACTGAACGTTGGGGTTTGCACGAGGCCCAGGTGTATGACAAAGAGCAGTATCGCAAACAGTACCACCCCGGCCTGCAAGATTCTGGTCAAGTTCGCTATGCGCAGTCCTTGGAAACGAAGCATCTTGAACCAGGACAAGCAAGAAATCACCCAGGTCGCGCGCGTCGAACAAGTGTGGAAAGATAAAAACGAAGGAGAGTTGGGACGAACACCTGGGAAGAGGAGCTTTAGATAGTGAAAATATTATGGACCCGGGGTGGGCGGGGCGAGCTATAAATTCTAGATTGGAGCCATCTGCTGTACAAAGTATTTTGGTACCTATCAAATCATCCTACTGCTTTAGGTACCGGTAGAATACTCATCAGGTAACCTGCTCGTGCTGATAGTAAGTAAGCCTCTCTTGGCGATGGCTTTCGGGTGTAGGGTAGGTAAGGGTAGATCAATTAGGTATTCTTAGCATTTGCATGACGCCTGAAATTTAAATCCCACATGGCGCAGGACTACTTAATCATATCCGAAAACCGAATACTGAGATAAAGCACCCTGGAATAGGGTTATTAGGCGATCGTGGATCAACTTTCTAACCTTCTGGATGACTTTGCAACTTATCCCCAACCGCTCAGCCACGGGGGATTCAAAAGGGGTGCGCCTTAGAATGAGACCTTAAAATGAGATGCAGTGCTGCTGGGTCGCTGAGCAAATGAGAATACGGTACGGGAAACTAAATCTGACTGTACGTGACTACTACTTAGCGCCCGTAGCTTCTACTTCTACAACCCGACTTTCGGTTTTGGTTTAACCTAGACTTTCAAGTACCCGTATTTATCACTAAATGTAGTTTTGAGGGAGCTTCTTTTATTATAGCTGCAATCATTACACTAGTTTGACCAAGTGTTCAATCCTCGAGCTAATTTAGAAGTACTAGTTGGTTCGTCGAGGGCCAAGACCTAGGGTACGTACCTTGTAAGGTAGGATTATAACCCTGCAGAGGCTGACGGAGCCACTGAAACTCGATGCCAAGTACTAAATACAAGGGCTAGGGCTACAGTACTGTACACTATCATCTGCTACGAAGTACACAGGGTTGCCCTATTCAAAGCGGATCATTTCAACTCTTACTTCGTAAAAGGAATCAAACTACTTTTACGCCGCATACGAGTACAGAAGATAAGTATACAGCGTAAACCGTGACCTGTAAGTACCTACGTAAGCCTTTCAGATTCGCAGATCCACGCAATGGGATTCGTATGCTCCGTGCGGCGAATTGTCCAGTTTCAGCCTCAACGTGAAATTGCATCTTCTGTGCGGAGACTAGAAAGGCTTGTCAAGCCAAGTCTAGGCTTTCTCCGATGAATGGTGACTTGCCTACTTACTACTGTAGACTACCACGACCTAATAATAGTAATAATAATAATGTCAGATACAAGTTATTAGTGTCGGCCAGAGACCGACAGACTGGGTCCCAGACAATGGGATTGTGAAGTCTTCTCACTCAGCCCAATCCCAACTTCACCGAAAATGATGTAAGCTAGAGATTAACAATGGAATTAATACCCACCTACCTACGGAGTAGACATGGAGAGCTCATATTCAGACCTAGTTATTTCATAGTTGAGATAAGATATGCATTTTCTGATGCTCTCGGGTTTTACAGCGAAATTAAGGTTAAAGTAAAGCGACGGGAAGCGAGCCCCTAATTAAAATGCCTGTTCACCGAGGGGCAACTCCAAAAGGGATCTCGGGGATAAGGAAGGTGCTGTGCGGTGCGAAATGACCTTATCGATAACGGTTAAACTCCGGTGTCGACTACAACCCCAAATAATCTATAACAACAGAACAGAACAGGACAGTCACAATATTTCCTTTCACTTGACCTCCCACGGTCACCATTGCCTTTCACCCCGCTTCCTCCTGGCGTAAAGCCCAGTACCTTCCCCTCTATCATGTCTGCGGAAGCCTTGCGGGTAGACTTAGATATGCACCCCCTCAGCGGCGGCGAAGACAGTGCTCAAAACACTCCGAAGGGGAGCCCCGCTACCCCAAAACACCACCTCCGCATGAGGCCGAACACTGCCGAAATAGACAGCACTATCACGCATCCAGGTTCAGTCAAGATCAATGTTCAAGGCGCCTTCATCGTTGACCAGGATCCCGAGTCTCCAAATAGCAAGGCCGTGAATGGGGGGAGCCATGATACTAGAGATATCCGGTTGCCTAACCACACTGCCGTCGTCAGTCATATTGCTGTGGATGTATGTTGTTCCGCTGGGCTGCGGTGGTCCCCCATAACTGACTGGCCGGGTAGATTGGAGGATCCCTAGCTAAGCTTGTTTACTTCTCTCGAGAACCCCATTCCCGCGAACCCGGCGGACGCTTGAACTTCATAAACTTCGAAACGGACTGTATAGACGACTGTGTGGAGTTCATGAGGCAGTTGAAGATCAAGCAGCAAAAGCTCAATGGATCAAACCCGGGAGAATTGTGTATCATGGCTACTGGTGGGGGGCCTACAAGTTTTATGACAAGATTCGAGAGGTACTGGGTGTAGATGTTCTACGCGAAGATGAGATGGAGTGTCTAATAATTGGTAAGCTCGGAATTCCTTCAGTATCCATGTAAGAGAACAGACTGATATTGTGCATGATGCAGGCCTCGATTTCTTTATCACGGAGATACCCCGAGAAGTGTTCACATATAGTGAAACCGACCCAATGCAATTCACAGAACCTCATTCTGACATATACCCCTATCTACTGGTGAATATCGGCTCCGGCGTGAGCATGATCAAGGTCTCCGGACCTCGAGAATACCAGCGAGTTGGCGGGACCTCTCTTGGTGGTGGGACTCTCTGGGGTCTCCTTTCTCTCCTTACCGGCTCTCGAACCTTTGATGAAATGCTTGGTATGGCAGAGCGGGGCGACAACGCAAAAGTAGATATGTTGGTTGGTGATATATACGGGGCCGATTATGGGAAGATCGGGTTAAAAAGCAGTACGATTGCAAGCTCCTTCGGAAAAGTATTCCGCATGAAGAGAGAAGCAGAGCGTGAGGCAGAAGATAGCGGTAGGCTCGCAAACGGTAATGATCATTCTAGTCCGCCATCGCCTGACGACATCCCGTCCTCTTCAGCTCCTGATCCGCCTTTCTCTTCATCAGATGTATCACGTTCGCTTTTATACGCAATCTCCAACAACATAGGTCAAATTGCCTACTTGCAATCCGAGAAACATTCTCTCTCTACTATTTATTTTGGAGGTAGTTTTATTAGAGGCCATAGACAGACGATGAATACTCTCAGTTATGCGATCAAATTCTGGAGTAATGGGGAGAAAAAAGCATATTTCCTGAGGCACGAGGGTTATCTTGGTGCCGTTGGTGCTTTCTTGAAAAGACAACCCAGGGATTGGGGACGGAGGAACAGCCTTCACGAAGGAACTGGCTTAGGGACTGAGACAAGGGCTTGAAGTTGGGGCCGCAGCAGCTACTGTAGCGCCGAAAACTAATGACTTATAAAGGGATTATGTTTGTGCAATATGCTGGAAGCTTGCACAAGTGGCGTATGAGGAATTGAATTCCATGCAAAGTATTCCTCACATCCCACCGAAGAAATTTCGGCAACGCTACTTCCTTCAACCGTCTCACTCCGTCTCACTCCGCCGAGAACCCGACATCGCCTATATACGCCTCACATTCGGTGGAGAGCTCTTGGTTAGACCTATTCCTTTTGCCAAAGCAAACGCTTCGACCGTCTTACTCCCCCGCACCATGTCGAAGACCCCCAACGCATCGCTTCCATCGGCACATACGAAGAATTCTGAGCGGTTCAAGCAAAGAGTGGCACCCTCTCTTGAATTAGACTCTAACTTGAAAAAAAAAAATGGAGTTGTGGGTTTCGATGGCATAAGTATTTCGGTCACATTTGATAAATGTCGATGGACGTTTAGATTTTATGAAAAAGGGGGGAGATTAGCGCTTCTGGCTCATTTCGGCAACCAGATAAAACTCCCAAGCCAAAAAGATTGAGGACAGCCTTATCCAACGTCCCAAGTTCCAAATTTGCTGTGTAATAAATTGAAAGTAGCAACCACCACAAAACGCCAATCAATGCAGTGATGTTTTTTCTTACAGCTTCAACTATGCTCCCCTGTTAGCATCAATTCGAAATCTTCAACCCAAATCTACGTAAACAATGTCCGTCCCCGCCCGACTGCAGAAGATCCGGCGCATAGTTTGGACAGGAGCCATCGCGGGTGTAACAGCGACAGGAGCATGGTATGGCGCTGGACTGAAAATACAAAGGGATGCGAAAAGGGTAAAGCCGCTCTACTTGGGTTCCTATTTTGCATGCTTCTTGATAAACACCTGTTTAATCCAATTTCCTCGTTATTCGTTCCAAGAAGGATGACTGCTAATGTGAGGATGCACAGGATGTACAAAAACGCTACGAAGCCACGCCCGCAGAAAAGATAGCACAGCTTGAGGAACAGAGGGGCGGCTTGGTCGCGAAAAGAATTGGGTTGGAGAAGAAGATTCAGGAGCTCGAGTTGAGAGCGCAAGGGAAGACGTGGGCGGAGAGTAGGGAGGGGAAGGAACGGAAGCGGTGATCATCATTCGATACGAGGGTGACGAGAAAATATTCGGGCGATTCGAGCGGGCAGAGGAAGTTGGTAGATGGAGAATGCCAAGGTATAGAGTGAGGCTCTAGATATATGGGCGAGACGAATACCGGCCGACGCTGGAGCGGAAGATCTGAGGAAGACTGGAGGAAACCCCCCTGTCCTCAAGTACAAAGGATGAACCGAATGCTATTCATGCTTCTCACTTCCACTGGGTGACGCATTGTACTTTAGAGTATGTACGAAAATACGCATCCGCAACCATCGAACGGGATCAAACTTCTGCTTTACGGAGTGTAATACTCCCCCGCTTCTTCTACACGTGGGAATTAGAGCTACTTCTCAAAGTATTAGACTGTTCCGGAGCACTTTGGACGCCAACCGCAGCGGCATTAAGAACCCTTTGCCTCTCATCCAACTCCTTACAGTAGCCACCACGTACCGCTCCTACAGCTGCATACCGCTTATGATGCGCATGCATAAGTATATGATTCTAAGTGCTTTCCTCTCCCCCTCTCCTTCACTTTCGAACAGCTTAAAAAGAAGCCATTCATTGACATCAACCCCAACGGCCATGTGCTAGCTATAGAGGAGCCTAGCACGGGTTTTAGTTCTATAGGAGTCGAGTGCCATCTACAAGTACCTAATCGAGCAATATGATGTCAGTCATCACCTTTCCTACAACACCGTGAATAGCACTCGGATATTTGGACCAGGCTCCTTATTAAGTAGGTTATAAATGAACCAAGCTGGTACTCAAATTTTTCGAAGGAATAAAGTCGATGCGTGTGGTGCTTGGTGATGTGGCATAGGAAAGGATCACTATCCTGAAGTAATCTTAAGGTCAATTACTACAAAGGAGATGTGGAGTTTTTCCGGTGAGTTGTTGCAGTTTGAGCGATATTTACGCTAAGTAAGCCATTCTGGGACTCCTTCGCCCCGATAAATTTTGACCTCACTCTGCAACTACCACTCATGTGGACTACTCATAGGCTTATACCTACATACTGTACGCATTTCACACATAGATCCCTTGCCTACCTTATTGTAGGTACCTAGGTAGGTATCGAAGCTCGAAAACCTTTTCTCCGAGAAACCCTTGTCAAACCCTGGCTCTGACTTGGTTGAGCATCTGGTGGACCCAAGACAGACAACGCAAACTCACCCTGCCTGTTCATACGCTTTACAAGAGTCGAACGACTTTGGGATGGAGCCTCATTCCTTTTATTATCTGGGCTATGCTCACTATGGGAGCTCCCTAACATTCGTAGGTACGAGGCTTCAACAAACGTTTCTTGGTCGCTCCCACACAGGCGGGGAAGTGACCAAGACCAAGCGCCAGAAGCACTTATGCCGTTTGCTACCTCCTCAGTTACTATACGACTATGAGAATACCGTAGTCTTGTTCTATCTTGCACGCCTGCGCGCGTTTCAGCCTTGACGATGTCAAAATAAGCCACCACGTGCAGTCGTTGATTGGATTTACTGTACCCCTCGCTTGGAGCTAAGTCCCCCAAATCCGAAAGCTCGGAGCCGCAACCCTGACGCTCATGAAATAACGAGGCCTAATTCGGAGGAAATAGTTTTCCTGGGTTCTATATTATTCCTACTTCATCAATCCGGGACACCATTTTTCTTATGTGATGATCTGCTTCATCCAGGCGTTCAAGCTTCCAACACGTTTAATTAAGTCGCAAAATGGCATGGACAAGCTGTCAATTTCAGTGTCTTTGCACTCTCGAAAGACATCTTTCTCTAAGCCAACTAACTGTGATTGGATCCACAAGTGTCGTATTGATGACAAGTAGCAAGGAGCCGCGTCTTCTTCAAATCTCACGAAGGAAGCAAAGGATTGTTGAGCCTTTCAAGGCTGAAAACGATACTTCGAAGCACGTTTCTCTTCTTTTGTCCCTCAATAGCTGAAAACCCTCTGCCAAGTATTCTATGTGCCTCTTCCTTTGACTCGTCTGTAAGCAAGAGAAGATTGATATAGTCCTTTTGAAAGCGCGCGCATTTCAGCGCCGTTACACACACATATATATATGAGAATATCGTCCTTTGCATCGCGTACCAGCATCACACATTATCCTCCTCCATTGTCAACTTCTATCAAGCTACAAATTATACCATCGTCCCAAGTCCAATTCCACTTCATTCCTTAAGCTGCAGCTACCTATCCCGAAGCTCACAATGACCCCTTTGAGTTTTTGGCTGGCCTTGGTTTTCGCCAACAGCACTTGTAAGCTATGATGAACACAATTTCTAGCAAAAGCATCAATCTGACATGACCTTTCATCAGTGGCCCAAATATATCCAGATGCTCGTACCACACTAATGAAACGCGCAAACAGTCCAACAACCCTAGTAGCAGGCTCCAATTCGACGTTATCAAGACTGGCCACGAGAACAAGCTCCCATACCGTATTATCAAACTCGACCACTGCCGCTACAAGAGTATCTTCTTCAACATTGATGACTTCCTGCAGCTACGTCACAACCGTATTCCCATCTAGTCTTCAGTCTATTGCGGGGACGGGCACTCAGAAATATTGTACTTGTGGAGAGACAATGGCCGGAATTAATCTTGCTACATCTGGCACATCAACTACATCATACTGCGCGTTGGGCACTCCTCCTCCAGCTGGTTTCTCCCAAGTTCCTGCCGGGTCAAATGGAGAGCCCGCCTGGCAATCGAAGGACTGCGAATCCCCTTTCTTCAAAGACACTACATTAAATCCCAGTACTCGGTGGGCCAGCATGTTTGCGGAACAAGCATGGAAGGACGCTATCACTTACTGGAATGCAAACCAAAACACCGGATTGTCTTTCATCCAGGTTGTCAGCGAGTTCTTCAATGGACCCCAAGGGATAGAATGCGGCAAGGTGGCGGACAAAAATAACTGCAATGCCGGAACATCATGCACGAATGGCTACACGGCTGCAGCATGGCTTGTCATGGAGAGTTTGGTGTTAGTGAGCGATGTGAGTAATTGTGCGGCTGGCAACAAAGCAACCAAGTACTAATTATTCAGATGAATGTCAACTTTTACAATGCACTCCAAAGTGCCGAGACGGCAATCACACCTGATATTGGAGCTTTTAGCGGAGCTTTTGCGCCGATTGACAATAGTGAAGAGATTTTCAAAACAATTTTAGATTTTGTCGCCTTGGGGGCTGCGGTTGGGCTCTCCCCTGTATGGAATTCATGTGAGTATGCGGTGCTGTCAAATACTACCGTGCTGACTTTTTCCTAGTATTGAAGAATCTCCAGTATTTCAAGGCGAACCCGAACACTCTTGGCACAATCAAGGATTCTATAAATCCTATGATCAGCCAAAGTGTCACGATCACAAAAGATAACTCTGCTGCGTAAGTACCTTCAAGTAAAACTTTGCCTGGGATACAGTAAGTACTAATATGAAGTAGGTCGTCTTCTATTGAAAATACGAATAAGATCGACGAGAACATGAACGGCATGGTCCAAGTGTGGCAACAGACGATTGATCAATTGAACACGCAGTTGTTCAATGGATCGGCTGCTTCTATCGATGCACTGCACGCCTTGATCACCAACGGTAAGATGCTCTCCGGTGATGTCGTAATAAGCGACCAGGACGCCCAGGCTCCGATTGAGAAAACCATCTATGGCTACATGATCCCACAAGCCTGGAAGCTATCCAATACTAATGTCACGCCGTTCATCGTGTATACCTCCTACAGCCCGTGTCGTAGTCTTGGCTAATGGTGATACAGAGATACTGGTGCCGCATGCGACACTCCGCCAAAGGACGGTCATGTGCCTGCGAAAGCACTCTCAGCTTGTGTTGATAACAAATTATACTACCTAGTCTCTGTACAAGGGCCCTCGAGGTCCTGTACCGCTACGATGAACATCGATTGCGATGATAACCCGTATTCTAACGTCCCCGGGGGAGACCTTCTCGACGGCAAAGCTTGGGGGGGCGTTACAGGAGCTGATTTTGTTCAAAGGTATGACCCTGATGAAGAGCAGAGTATGGATATTGCTTGACTGGACCTATGCTTACGATTGATGTAGTGCACTTGCAGGAAAAGCTGCAAATGGCGGAAATAATGGCTGGTCAATGGTTGACCCAACTGCAGCGCTCGACAATGAAAGTGATTTGCTACTGAACGGCAACGGGATTGATATGGCTGGCGTTACGCAGATCCCAATCTGTACTGATGCAGAAGCCTTTGACAATTGGAATAAAGGACACACTGGGGCCAATTTCCCATGCAATAGTTGAGAGGATGTTGGGTAATTGGAGTAAACCGCAGTGCGTGAAGCGATCGGTGTGGGTTTAGCTTATGGTTGTGCTTGGTTGTGAGTATGTTTGCAAACGACTCTACATGGATTAAATATTTTATGAATATATAAAGAAGGACTTCTTATGGACTAGTTATAGCGTGTTGGTGATGTGGACATGAGATCAAACTACCTTAGCAGTGTGACCGAGGCTTAGTAAAATGAATGAAGCCCAGTGAGAAATTTCCAGCATGCCCAGTATGGGTATAGGCTATAAGTGTAAGACAAAGATTGCCCAAATAAGTTGAATTGCAGTTGTAGATGCTGAATTTGGATCACCCAAGCCGCAGGAGTTGGTATTTACCGAGTAAGGGAGTGAAGTCTGATCGTTTTCCCGCTTTGACGCTAGTAACAATACAGCTTGAAATGGGCCCTTCAACACCACAGTAATATCAATTCCTACACCACCCACCCTCACCTCACTCCACCTCCGCATTCTCTTCCACCTCACAATGCGGCCTCGTCTTCCTATTCGCAGGATACCACTCCTCCGCCCTTTTCGGCCTCCCAATTCTCCCGCGCTCCGCCCCTTCACGGGCAATACCCTCGCTCGACCCAATCTTCCCTACCTGTCCAATTCCAGCCAGCGACCAACTGCGCGCTTTATGACCGTGGAGACGAAGCAATGGTTCAAGGACGAGGTCAAGAAGGGCATGAAGTACACGGCGTACATATACACATTTGTGGCCCTGGGCCTCATCATAACATTTGGGATATATCAAGAACGATTTGAACGCCAATACCACCCGCCCCCCGAATGGAGATGGGTCACTCGATACCAGTGGAAAATGGCGATGCATGCAGAAGACCCAGAGAATCCGGAGCTGGCATTTGTGGATTATGCCAACACTGGATCCGTCTACCAATTGCTCATTGCCAGGCTTGAAGACCCCAATGGAGAAGGTGCTGGGCTGCAGGAACAGGGCGAGGGAGGAATACTGGTGGAGGGGGTCGGCAGAACGGGGTTCGACATTTCAAACAAGTCAGAGCAATGGCGTCGCGGGTATTATGGAGCTCTGATGGGAGCAGCGAGGGCCGCGGAGCACCTAGACGACTGCGTGAGAGACCCGGTGAGAATGCTCGTGTTCCCAAAGTCTGTTGTGCCTGGCCCTTCGAACCCGAACCCGAAACCGATCCCGCCTGGAGCAGCAATTCCATCGAGAGAAGAAGACTGCGAGAAAGCTTACGAGTCTCCGGAGACATTCTACATGCGCATTCTTACAACGAAAGGGTTCACCGAGAAGCAGCGAGTGGACGCTGCGTTGGCATATGGGGCCTGGCTGGACTTCAAAGAAACGCACGATACGGCATTAGAGATGTATAAATGGGCCATGGACATTGCGACCTCGAGCTCAACATCTACGAAGCCTGTGATTGACAAAGCGACTGGGACTATTGACCCCACTGCGGGACCACCAAGTGCCAACGTACTTGCGGTAGCAACAGCGATTGCTGTTCATCATGCGTTGTGCTCAAACCTCGCACTCGCCCTTCCAGTCTTCATCTCCATCCTTCGCTCACGCAGGTCGTTACCAGACCCTCCGAGCAACCCCCAACTCGAATCCGCACCGGACGGAGATACTAGCATCGCGAAGACCATTGCATCATTCATACATGGCATCTTCGTCGTACCCCCCTACCCCCCACCGCCACCAGATGGCACCGAACCACCACAGCGAACATCCCAAGAGTTATGCGAAGAGGCAGGGGTGATGACGAACATTGGGGAAATCCTATTCGCCTCGAAAAGCAGCAAAACGAGCAAGGAGGATGGGTTGGCCTGGACAAGGGAAGCAGTTGATATCGCAGAGGAGGAACTGAGAACCAAAAGACCTGACAAGGAGGCCAAAAAGACATGCAAACAATGCTTGGAAGTGGCCATTGGCAATTGGGAGACGATGGTTGAAAGGCTTGCAAGCGAAGAGAGGGAGGCCAAAGCGCAGGGCGGGAAAGTTGGGGGTTGGTTGGGTTTTGGAGGAGAGGAGCAAAAGGACATGGCTGGGAGGTGGGAGAGCGAGGAGAATGTTGTCAAGGAGAGGAGGCGGAGGGTGATGGAGCTTCTTGAAGTGATACCGGGACCTAAGTGGACTTCGATCTTGTCTGTTTGAACCTCGAGCTTCTAATGCATGGAGTTGGCGATGTATGTATGAATTTGAATGAATATCTGATATGAGTATTTTGTATATAAGACAAATTGACATCCCACCACAAGGAGATGATGATGGTCACTCAAAGCTAGGTTGTGGAAGGTAGTCGAGCAACAAACACTTCATCGCCCATCTGGTTAAAGCATTGTAAAATATTAAATGTCAATCCGTTGACCACGCACTGAGAGACTTGCTATTCAGCCCTGTCTAAAAATTATTCGTAATCCTTCGTAAATGCCGCCAGTCCGTGACAATTCTGCATTGCACGCCACTCATTGCAACTTAGCTCGCCCATCCTCTTCCGGCTCCACAAACCCCGTCTCCACAGCACCCTTCACACCTTCGCCATGCTCTGATGCCTCCACATCAAATGCAACCCCATCATTTGGATCCCACCCAGGCTCATCATCACTCTCCCCACCAATGTCAATTCTCTCGAACTTTGGGTTGGCATAATTGGGATCAGAAGCAACGTCGTAAAACCAGTTCAGGATAGTCTTGTAGCCCTTGGGCAGCATCGTCTCACTGTAATATGGTTCTGCGAGGCTGAAAATAGGACACCCGCACGCCTGGATGCGCTTGGTACCCTCGGGGCCGCTGAGAAATGTACCTGCGGGTTCTGGAGAGATAAGGAATGCACGGCCTCGCTGCGAAGTATTAGCAATGAACGCATATAGAGAACTGGCAGGATAGGAAGAACTCACATCCAAGAACCAGCTGGCGAAATCAACGTTCTTGATCTCAGAAGCATGGTACCAAGTCGCTACAGCGGCGAAGGCAGAGACTCGTGGACCCCATATTTTGAAATTATCAGGATCCTCGAGGAAAGTTGAGACTTTGACGGCGCCGTCAGACACGCCTAGAATGTCTAGCTTTGCGGCCGGGTCGACGAGTTCTGCTACCACGTGGTTGAACATGTAGTTGACATGCTGCTCGGAATCATGGTTGCCGGGTATGACATTCCTCTCATCGTCAAACCGGTATGGGTTTTCCACCGAGCTCTTCTGGGGGAGCGCGTACCACGAGGTCTGGGTGACGGCTGTCTTGCCACGGCGCCACCATCTCAACTGCCCCATATTGGCGAGGATGATACCAGGAGCGTCGGCATTGTCTGGGGATGTGTGCTGTGATTGAATGTACTTGACGAAATCTACAGCAGATCCGGCATCGAGCCCGCCTTTGCCGCCGATGATGCGGTGAGCGAAGACGCCGATGTCTTGGGTGTGCTCGTAGAAGAGAATCACTACCCGCCTCTTGCTTTTCAGATTAGATGATATGAAGATTGGGAGGTTGGGCTCTTTCTCTGTTGCACCTAGTGGCAGGCGGATCTTTTGCAGGCCGAGGTGCTCTAGTCGGTCGGATACGATCTTGCGAACGGCACCTGGCGTCTTGGTGTTAGCTATGCTGCTTGGTGAAGAGAGTGAAAGCCTCACCATTCATGGCCTCTCGCTGCGCGTCATTGTGTCGTTGGTTTTTGGTTATAAAGTACTTGAAGTAGGCTTTGGGGTTTTCCGTGCTTCGGATTTCATCCTTGGCGTTGATGAAATATCTGAGATCGAGTCAGCATTTTGTTGAGAGTGAGTGAGTGAATTATCGATGTTCTTACCCCAGCCCTGTGAGGTCGGCAGGGTAGACAGGGTCTTTGGGAAGACTAGATGCGAGACGGCGAAACATGGTGACGGGTTGAGAAGGTGAGGTTGGTGCTATGGAGTTTAAACGAAGGGAGGTATGTCGCTGGATATGTGCTGGAGCCTAAGACTCAAGTCGGAGTTTGAAATTGAGATTGAGGTTGAGGTTGCAAGCTGGAAGTATTAGGAGAAGTGAGAGGCACGAAGAGAGGTAGCTTTCAATTGAGCTTCTCTTTAATTCACTTACCGTGCCTAGGCAAATGCGAGTTGAGTTGCAGAAGACAAGAGCTGGGAGAGAATTGAATATAGACGGTACAGTTGAGCATTGAGGTCGTTCTTCGTTTTCTGCCAGTGAAAGAAATAGAGGTATTGTTTGTAATGTCTCGGGAAGCTGCCTCCAAGAAGCAGAAAAAGCAAGCACAAGCAGAAAAAAGACAACGACAATGATATGCAGAGTAACAAATTTGAATGCCAAGAACAGGGTCGGGAAGAACGAAGATGAATGTGATGGACAGCCATGGCATACTCGGGGTGTGCCTCTGAACAGCGTACAAGGGAAATTGTTGTATTGTGGCTGCTTGCTTCGGATGCTCACCTTCAACTCCAGTATCTCCAGTGTCATTAGGCAAAAGTACAGTATAATACAACACAGTATAGCACTGCGCCCAGAACCATCCTGCACAGCTCCCAGAAAGAGAAGCGTCTCTGCTGTGAAGCGCCGTCCCAACCCATCCCATCCCTTCTTCCGTAAAGCTGCTCCCACCACTCTTGGCATAGTTCTCCTACTTTCGTACTCCTACCAACTCGCCTTCTTCACACCGGGGAGATTTCCAGCCAGGGCGTGCATTCGGAACATGTACTGCAGGGGATCTCTATCAGCTCTGGTGTTCACCATATACACTTTACAACACAACACAACCCGGCTCATCTGCACATACTCTCGTCATCTTAAAGTCCCTCAGCACACCACGTCCTTTTCCTCCCTCTACACACCGGTTGCGAATCTGCGTTGGTCGGGTGTAGCAGTGCATCTGCGCCAATTGCAGCTGGGCTTGGGCGCGGGTTCGCTGGGGAAGACTCAGGTTGCGGATGATGTATCGGAGGGCTTGCCTGACGATTGGACATGATATGGTTAGCAAGGTTTCGAGGTGGAGGAGAGGAGGGGGGGGGGGGGGGGAGGGGTCTCATACCTCTCTGGCTCATTCTCTGCGAAGACCTTTCTCTTGGTGTGGTCCCGGATGACCTTGATATTGACGAAGCCACCCAGGTCCAGCTTTTTGGATCTGAACATCGACATGGTGAAGAATAGCGCTGTGCGGATTCTGCTGGGGGGTGGTCGTAGGTATGTTACAGTAATGCAGCTGGAGTGCAAGTCAGTTATCTCAATGCCACTGCTGCTGCGATTTTTACGGTGGCCGGTTTAAGCTTTGGTGGCGTGGCGTGGGTCGCAACACTACCATACAAAACTACCCAGTAAATTCATACATCCATCCATCTACATACATTTGTGGGATATCTCCATTTTGCACCCCGCATAACAGAATAGGCCTGTTGCTTCTTTCATCCCTCTTCTGTTTACTTATAGTCCTAATGTGTATCCCCAGCCTCATCCATCATCTCCGCTGCCCCCCTATTCAGCCCACGTCAATTGCAATTATATAAGCAGCGGTTCCAGCAAGTGCTGTAGGCCGGCCTGAGAGATCTTAGTCCTAACTCATCTTTCCTCTATTGGACGCCCTTCTCTCTCCATTTGCTTTGCATGTAATTCAATTGGAGTGGCTACAATGCCGGTTGCCCACGGGCAAAGTATGCCGATAACAAGAGACTTACAATGTTGAGATTCTCGAGGTCCGAATGGATAAAGATATGCTATAATGAAGACGCATAGCATGTCTTTGACATTGCTCCCAGCAGTGTTGTTACGTTTTGCGTTATATGTGTACTTCGATGCTGGATGCGGCCCTTCCTCTGCTTTTCTCTCTCAGGTGTGCGTGTCCGCGAGTTTCATGACAGACTCAGTAAAGAGCAATAGTACAGTCTAAGCAGGTCGTAATGCATTAAGCGCTTTTGACAAGCGTTGAAATATGATACGTTCAAAATGCATCGGCATCATTCTTCCCAGTGCTGTCCCTCGCTCGGCTCGAATCTCATACATTGAAGTACTACAGCTGGGAAGTTTGGTGTCCCTATTCTTGTTATCTAAATGCTTGCTCTAGAAACATGGTCTCTAGATCAGGGTCAGAAGATGATATGTAAACCAATACGCGCCGCATAGAGTCAAACCTTCTTAAATGGGTATTGCTGTGATGAGGATGAAAGCAAAGAACACTCTCAGTCTAACTTTCTGTGTTTGATCTACAATTACGAGAAGTTCCTTTATGTAACGAAATACTGCATGTTGCTGTCTTCAATAGCCGCATTGCACTAGGATTTCGACACAAGTTCTTGCCACTTGTCGAGCCCCGAATGCCGAAACATTCGATGCAGGAAATATCAACGCACAAACATGTCACAATAAAGTGTATGGTCCCTCACCATTCAGAGCACTGAGCAAAAATCACATTGAGTCAACACCACTTTCTGGCCATCGCAAAGCTATTTTTAATTAGACAGTCGGATTCCCCTTGTCCGTACCAGTTCTAAGTTGGTTGTTCATTGTACGCTGGACGGCCGAAGCCTGCCAAGGACATCTGAACCCCGATGCTGGAAGGCGCCGGCCGTGAAGCTAGTGCCGACCTGCTCTAAGGACGTCCATCCAAGGCCCAACGTACCCAACCCTTAGAGCGAATCATTTCCCTGAAGTTACGGATCTATTTTGCCGACTTCCCTTATCTACATTCGGATTCATTTGTTTACAATTATGCTCTTTTGGGGGTACGAAGGTTGGGGACGCTTATTGTAAGTGCATTTGATTGCCCCGATTGTGTGCTATATTGCGGCGTGGAGAAAAGTTTCAACGGATGTCCTACAAATCAAATTACCTTTTGATGATTTACCACTCTACCCAGGGGTTCCAACCATTCTGGACCTTCTCGACCACCTGCTTCGTGACCGCGTCTAAGTCCTCAGGTTTAAGGCCCAGCTTGTCGTTGTCTAGCTTCTGCGTGTACTCACGGCCGCCGTCCTTAGACCAGCCATGTGCGTATAGAGCCTTAGGAAAGCCGCGTTGCGGATTGGTCTGCATCTCGGCCAAGCCGTCTTTATAGCGCTTCTCGGCCGGCTCACATGTAATCTCCCACTAGGTCATGGGGAGTTAGTTATTTCCTCTTCAAGAGTGATTTGAGAGCAGAAGAAGAGCAAGTTCAAGTTTTAGGAAGTATGTAAAGAGTGGTTGGAGTACATGAGACGAAACATAATAGAAGGGGGTAGGGTGAAATCAAAGAGCCAGTTATCCTTACGTCTTCATCGGTAGTGCCGGTGGCGCGCTGCACCGAGTCGAGGATTTTGCGTTGCGTAACACCGAAGCTGTCGACGTAGCATGGGTAGTTCTTATAGTCTGCTAGCGAGGGGGAGACACCGCTCTCGGGCAGGCTCAGCAGAGCAGCAAAAGCCTCGCCGCAGCGTGACCAGGTACTGGTGTTTATGGGATTGTGGCCCTCGTCGCAGAACCAGGCTTTCTTCTTCTGAATGTCGATGCCGTACCAGTTGTCCCCTAATGCTAGACCCCACTCATACCAGAAGCCCGTCGTCAGCACGATCCACGACACCCCGATTTCCTCAACATCCTGTATACGTCGCATTGTGCCGGCCCCGAAGATGGGATTTGCCACGCCCTCGCCTTTGGGGTCAAAGCCGTGGACGTTGGGCATGATATAGGCTACGCCAGCCTTGGCGGCCGCTCTGACAACCTTGCCATGGACTTCCTCGGGTACACGCACGCCGAGCGAGATAACAAGGAACTGCTGGCCTTTGAGGGCTGTGACTATGCTGTCCTCGCTGTCGTAGTCAACCTGAACCAACTTGACGCCGGTGGGTATCTTGCTAGTGCTGCCAACACGCGTTAGTGCCGTGACAGTGTGCTTGTTCGTCTTAAGTATTGCTTCGGTGAACTGCTTGCCAACGTGGCCGCCGGCCTATGATTGCGTTAGTAGGTGGTATCGACTACTTTGTTTCGTCTATTCTTTTCTTTGGTGGTTATAGGGCAATAACGTACCCCGATAATAGCAACGTTCTTAACAGGAGGAGAAGCCATGGGAGTGGTAAGTGCCGTTAGTATTATATGTTTTGTTTTTGAGAGAGGGTAAAGAGAACGCAATGGATCAGAAGTTGAATAAACCAAGAGGCCTGATATATACCAACCCAAGGGGCCAAGGGGGAGACAATGTTTATGAAGCATAAGTCCGACAGTATAAACGGAATTTATGGAGTTAAGATGAGCCGAGTTTCATTCTGTGCTATTGAATTGTGAGCTTTTCGGTTCAACTTTGACTCCGTTCGGACCAACTTTTGTCCCTTTCTCGGCAGATAGTAATGGCCGTTAGTAGGTCTCGATCTTCAGGTCAACAGAGACTTGGCTGATAGAGTTCTACCCATTCAATACATAATGCCTGAATAGCCATTGGTCACATGGCTAGTCACGCTCCACGCCCTTCATGGGAAAATGCCCGACCTCCTGAAATCTAGAGAGATCTAGATTATTTCTCTCAACTAGTTAGATAGAAATTAGAATTCGGCAGGATACTTGTCGAGTCAATAGTGTCATTTCCCCATATAGTAAGCTACCCCGTAAAGATGCCAACCCTAGTTGCAGCGTTACTCACTTCAGCAGCCCCCACAATCCCAGCACACCCCCTACCATAGGCATCAAAGCTCTCACATAATTCATCCCATCCCAGCTCCTCACGAGCGCCTCCACCTCACCCCCATCCACTTTCACCTCATTTCCCCCCTCCTGTTGCCTCGCTATCTCTCCCAGACGCTTATTCGCCGGCATCATGACAAGAACAGTCCAGGGCAGAACCGCAAACGTCACGACTCCCGCGACGGCGAATAGTGCCTTCTTTCCACCGTCAAGCAACGATCCGGGGGTGCAGTAGGATGCAAATCCCCACGCTATCAACGATGCAGCTGCGAGTGGCGGGGAGACCAGCGCTCCTTGGCTGTAGATGACTAGGAACTGCGAAGCGCGAAGGGGCACAGGAGCGAGACGTAGGGCGGGAATGCCGAGATGAGAAGCGGAGAAGGCAAAGCCTGTGAGTTATGGAGTTAGATAGGGTGGATGATTTGGAGAATCATGATGGATTTACAGGCCAGGACGTACCGGAGAGGAAAACACTACTCGCTACTCCGAAGATTTGAAGGACTTTAGATGTTGGCGTGATATCGGACATTGTAAAAAGCGGAATAAAGTAGATAGAAAGTAAATAGTGGTTAAATATGCGATTGTGCAATTCCAAGAAGGATGGAGGAAGCCTAGCGTGGCGATATACCCCAGGTAATAAATGAAGGGGCTCGGATTGAGAAGAGGAAGATCAAGGTCCATATATACTTTCGGCCAGGATCACATTTGCAGAATTACGGCCGTATGCTGCGTAAGCTACTACTCACGACCTACAAAGGAGATAAAATTCGGATATAGAAGTAGGAAATCCGGCAAGAAAAAACTGCTTTTCTCTAGGTTTGTTACGAGGCGCTTAGATATAGGATCAAAAGACCATATTGCTGGGCTAGTTATTAAAATTCGGTAGAGTATCAAGATATGAATTTTATTGACTAAGACAACTATGAAGAGGAAAGCTGGAAGTGTAGAGAGTGGAAGTTGGGTTGGGAATAACTTCAAGGGCACGGACCAAGTCCCTTAAGCGAGTGCGAGTGCGATCAATAGCCTGGCATTAGTGCTGCTCCTACGATATTTAGGACCTGAGAAGTAGGGTGCTGCCTGCAATAGATATTGCAACTGCAAAAGTATGATAAATGATATATACTTGATACTGGTAAAATAATTAAAGCAAAAGTGTACCAACGTCTCACTCCCAGAGGCTCTTCCGCAGGCCGGAACGCTTGTCCAAGCGTGGTAGCCGTACTTGCTTGCGTTTTACCCGCATCCGCGCGCCATGCCATGACATCTAGCCATTTGGAAACACTAGAATCCATCTCTATGATACAAAGTCTCCTACAACAAGTTTTCCTTAAGAGTCATGCTCAGGCATAGAATCCTAGTCTTCTGTGAATCCGTCCAGCTTGTCCAACAAAGAATCCTCAGCAGGGTTCCTACAATTCGACCCCTCATCCCATTTTACCCTGTGGTATTCATCCGCAAGGAAGGAGCCATTAGACCAAGGAAGACGAGCCTTCCAGCCGTGACTTGTGAGCCCTCGAATGAATTCCCCAGCTGACTGCAGAGGTTGGCTCTGATCCGTGCCCTTTCCTCCAATCCATACGTTCCTGAGACGTATTCTCTCCACGTTGGCAATGTGCTTGACGAGATGCGCTTGCATTAGTGTGAGATGGCGGGTCCGAAATAAAAGATCGTCGTCCGTTTTTTCGAGTTCACTGAATTTGCGCAGTAGCTCTGGATGATCCGGAGCCCAGATGATCAAGTCTTTCATTCCATTCTTCAGTGGACGCAGAACTGCAAACCCAGATTGCCCAAGGATGTTTGACCCACCGGCCATCCTTCTCTTCCCATGCTTTCGTCCAGTCGCAGAACAGTCCAATGACTTGCGTATGTGGGAGAGGCTTCTGTACTTCTGGATGAATCCACGCGGAAAAATCTTTGAAATATCCTACTTCAGGGAAGTTCTTGAACGTTCGCTGAACCTTCTTATCAGAGAAGCCAATGGGTTGCATGTCCAAGAACCAATCGTCCCTGTCACTTCCATTCGAGAATACTAGCATGGTCAAGAACTTGCACATCTCATCGGCGCTACTCCATTTATGAAGTTGTGGTGGAGGAATGGGGCTGTCGGCATCGATTTTTTTGATCACCTTCTGAGTTGGAAACTGGTATCCAATCCCAAGAGCTTTCGTTTTATCGGGTTTGACATTGCTTGCGTGGAGTATTGGCTTTTTGAGAATCTGATTGAGTGGATCACCTCTGTAATTTGGAGATGCGTGCTGGGCATTGACTTCTACCTCATCTCCTAACTTGATATCGATGGCGTGGGAAGATTCGCCGCGCTCTCGATGAGAATGCCGGCGTTTTGAAGCACGTTGCGCGGGTGCATTGTCTGCACTCCTTTTGCGACTGTCTTGAGAACCACGTCGAGGCATTGTGAACTTGGAGATGTAGGACGGACAGAGTAAGTGGAGGCACTCTCAACAATCTTTTCTATTTTGGAAACAATCAAGTGATGTTTTATTTTCTCCCCGGTCATGATTGCTTTTGGGTATAAATTGGCGTTTCACATCCTTGCGGCATGAGTTCCTGACAGCTCGTCGAGGAATTAAGCAATGGAGCTGGCGAGCCTCCAAAAATAACGGCAAATACATAGGTACTAGTATTAGACTAGATCGGAGGATCGTAAATAACCTCATGGGATTACTGCTGCTTGCGCAGAAAAGTTGTCAACATCGACGATAGGAAACCTCGGTTGTGGAGCGGCGGCCCCTTTTCCAGACGCTAAGACCGAAGAAGAGATAATTTCACTCCGGGTAGCTACCCGAAGCGGCCAAGAACATGCGATTTTTCAACCCTCATTAAAACATCACCAACATCAACTCTGTCCCATCCCGTGCTGTTTCTATCAAGTCACTCATTTGTGCTCGGTCTGTCTTTCTTTTTCTCTCGCGCTGTAGTCATAATGCCTTCTCGCAAGAAAAATTCCCCGACCCAAACATCCCCGCGAACACCGCGAACATCACCGCGAAAATCACCGCGGACATCAACGGGCACCCTCACGATTCTCAGCATCAGCATCGCTTTGATATCAGCTGTCGTGTACTTTCTGAACTCACACTTGGAAAGATTCTATATCTTTTCCACCTCGGAGCTTCATGACCTTTCTCTGCGTGCCATCAGCACCCATGGGAACGACACAGCCGCCGTCGTGACGTTTATCGCCGGGGAGTTGAGCGAGAAGCTCCCCGGAGGCTACGTAAATTTGGATCAGGAGTGGATTTTCAACAATGCTGGAGGAGCAATGGGTGCTATGTACATTCTGCATGCCAGTAAGCTTTTCCTAACTCGGGGTGGATTCAAAATTTATGTTGAGGACCATCACATGACCATACTGACTATTTCCAGGTGTCACGGAGTACCTGATCATCTTTGGTATATCTTTTACCTGTATTGATACTTTCTGACCAAGCAACTAACAATATGGACAGGTACGGCCGTTGGCACCGAAGGTCACAGCGGACGTCACACAGCAGATGATTATTTCCACATCTTGAAAGGCACACAGCTCGCCTACACACCTGGATCATTTGAGCCAGAGGTGTACCCGCAAGGGAGCGTGCACCACCTTGAACGTGGCACCGTCAAGCAGTACAAAATGGACGAGGCGTGCTTTGCGTTGGAGTATGCCAGGGGTTGGATTCCTCCCATGCTGTTCTTCGGGTTCGCGGACGTCTCAGCAGTACACTTGATGTGCAGACGCTGTGGAGGACGACTTGGGTTACGGGCAAACAAATGATTCTTAACCTGGTGAGGGGGAAGTTCTAGGCTGTTGCCGGGACTCGGGCTTGTATGCTTGGATTGTAAATCCCCGGTTTGCGGTAGACGTTGGGGAATGAGTTGTACATTATTCAGGATATACTAGAGTGAGGGGTGTGTAATAGATTTGAATTTGAACTAAATGCTAAGCATCATCAACCAGAATACCAAGAATCAAGTCTATACTACGTAGTAGAGAAGTGATCACGTATCAACACCTGTGATACCAACATTGTCCGTCATTTATTCACGTGATTAGCCAATATCCTCTGTTTCTACAGGCTCAAATTTGGGCTTCGGTATAAGTATATTATCTTAACAAGAAGAACAAGATTAGACACAGACACGAAATCCCAGGTCTATATATCAAGCTTACTAGGGTTATCGACCCACGCTGTTATAAGCAACTCCAACCATACCAAGTCCAAGCCCCCAATTCAATTAGCAATAAACCAAACTCCAAAGCATAGGAAGCAAATACTAAATCATTTGTCAAGTAAATCATACCACTCTGGAACATCCTTAATAAGACTCCACATGTACTTCTCCAGTCTGACCGCACACTTGGTGTATACTGTTGTTTCGTCATTATACTTCCGGCAGTTGCTGAAAATTAATTTGAGATCGTCGACGAGAGATTTTGGCGTAGGGTATTTATCCTGGTGCAATCTCTCCTCAGCTATTGACAAATCCATTGGTGATGTAATAACATTATAGTAATCAGGAACTTCGTCTTTATTGACCGGATTAAGGAAGGGCCATGCTTGTTTGTGGTTTTGAAGTTCACCTAGAAAACGTCGAAGTTGATTGAAATGAGGTCCGTGGCGGGGTTCCCGTGCTAATTTGTCCATATCTGGAGACCAGCCAATTGCCCGAATGGCAGGGATAGAGAGTGGATCGATTGGAGTAACAAAGCCATTAGCCCATGGCTTAGGCGGTTGATGGATAATGTGGCTTTGGCTTACGGCACGAATTTTGGCCAGTACAGTTTCCTTCTGCTTAAGAAGCAGACGACCAGCTTCAAGATAACGTATTCGGGGAAGCATAGAGCATTGCATAATTGTCCCTCCTTCGTAATCCTTGATATACCCCATCCAGAGAGACTTTTCGAGGGTGATCTCTTTAGTAAAGCCTTGTTTTTGGAAGTACCCAGTAGCATAATTATCAGCGTAAGTTAAAAAATGCATTACTGGGGAAGTAGCTTTGACGTAGTCTTTTAGATGGGCCATAAGATGTGCTCCGTATCCTTTCACTTGCTGATCCGACGAGACTGCACAAAAAACGATTTCAGCAAATTTGCGGTCTCGGAATTCTCGAAACGATATTCCGCCAATAACCTCTAGAGCCTTTTAACGATGGCAATGGATAAATGAGTGCGATCATAAACGAGGCGTGCGATGTAATCCTTCGGCATTTTCGGAAGTTGCTTTTGAAATAAGCATTTGAGACCCGTAAGAATAATCCAACTCTCTCTAGAGCTATCATTATTGACGACTTTAAATTCAATCTCGCCATTTCTTTCCTCTAAGACTGCAGGCTTTAAGTAAGTTAGAATAGTTCGTAACATTTCGAGGTCCTAGCATACCTTCTCTGGGAAAGGAACCATCCAGGGTGTAGCTGGAGGCTCAATATTTGCTTCTTTAGGCCCCTCATGAGAGCTTTTGATTCTTTTGGTGGCAGAGGGTGTGTCCGGTTCTTCATGGGCCTTACGCTTCGCGATGAAATTTTGATCGCGGTTGGCTGGAACTGATTGTGACTCTGCTTTGTCCATTGAGTTGAATGCCGGTGAACCTGAGACTTTGTTCTATCGAGTTCACGCTTAAAGACTCGATATTTCGATCGCCAAGAGGGCAGTCCTTCTTTCGATAACTCAAACTAGTGCAGGTTAGCCTCGGGTTCTCTGAGCAGCATTTCAAGACGCCGGGAAAGACGCCCGGAATCAAACATACACATGTGAATAAGCGGACTGACTGGCTTTGCTTGATATTGGACGCTTAGTTGGTGAGTGCTGAGTTGCGCAGTCCTTTCTCTCGAATGGTGGAATTGTTAAGTGCAGTTGCTGGAGATTCAGGCGTCGAGAATATTGTCTCCGTGCGACGTACTCTGGAGCAAGTCAGCTCGGGATATGGGTGATCATTTGCGAATGAACGATGGCCACAGGGAGATTTTGGGGATGCTCCAAAGCGTTGTTGGTTGTTGGATTAAAAGTTCGTTGCGCAAGGAAACGGTCTGTCTGCCCCGCACCCGCACCCACACCACAGGCGGGAAATGCCCGCCCGCATTTAACCTTCAGGGACCGAACGTAGCGTAGCCCTATAAGCCGAGACCGACCTCCTCGAAAATCGAAATTTTTGGCTGACAGTTACCAACTTACCGTACCTACCTACCTATCTAGGTACCTAGCTACACAGGATCTAGTGCTCCCCTAGATGAGAAACCCCGCGGTTGGGAACAAAAGAACGCTGCTTCGGAACTTGATCTAATGCCTTCCGAAGTATCTTCGGTCTTTTATTGCTCGGGTCCCCTCATGCATTCCGAAGCGCCAATCTTCAACAGCGCCGACTTCAGATAAACAGTCCTTGCTCACGGGTAGCTAGATTACTCCTCACGGGACGGTGCACGGTACAGAAACGAATTACCTCATACTGGGAACTTTTCAGATTATGATTGGCAAATATTTTCGTTACAAAATGGGAGCTGAAAGCTATCTGCTATGGGTACAGGTATGATGTTCGAATAATTCCACACGAATCCATCGACCCACAGAGTGTAAGCCGAAATAAATCTGTTGCAAGATGAAATGGTTAACTGGAGACCAGCTTTTGTAAACTCCAATAGTATCCCACGGCCATGAAGCAAACATTACACCTTGTTGCTCCGACGTGAGTATTCATGAGGGAAGCTGATGGAGATATCTACATCCGAAATAATCCACCGCATCCATTACAAGCAGCCCCTCCTTATTTGTCTTTCTATGCTTCAGCGCATCGATTTACACGAAGAAGATATTGGAGTCTGTCAGGGTGGACAGCTTCTAAGCAATAACGATGAGAATCGAGTTCATCATCACCATCCTCGATCTTGATGGCCATTTGGGAAGAGCTCCCTGGCGTTGGTTGGTGAATCTGGACTGGTTTCTGATGCAAATTGCCTGCTCTGTGGATGTGAGGGCTGGGTTGAGACTGGTGGCGGATAGAAGACGGAGGCGCAGGGGAAGAAGCCATTACTGATTTGAACTTATCATACGTGAAGGACGCCCGACGTAGCTTAGTCTCTTGAAGTCTGGCAGAGGAAGCGCCTTCTGACGGCTTCTCTCTGGCTCTTGGGTGGATGGAAGGCGGTGATTGGTATATGCTGGCACCTGAATTCTTCACGAGTGTGTTATCAGAGTTATGCCCGGTGTCTTGCTGCCTAACATCGTCTACCCAAGCGAAGACTCGTTCACCAATATTATAACCCATTTCTCGACGAATCACAGATTCAGCGCTAGGGGCTCTGGCCCGGAATACTTCCCCAATGTACCGATGGGGCGTCTTGGGTGATATCGCAAGTTCTGAACGAGGGCTAGCCTCTGACTGGTGTGCCTCTGATGATGGAAGAGAAAAGGTCATCTCAGGAGTGTCCAAGTCCATATCCTCACAGCCTCTCTCCCCATCAGTTTCCCCATCGGCGTCGGCCTCAAAGCTTGACTCTCGCTCAGAAGTGCCAGTAAGATCAATGACTTTTCGCTCCTGCATAGGAAGCGGAACGTCATACACGACACTTTCCCCTTCGCTATCTACGCTCTCCTCAATATCTTCCTCCAACTCAGCGCGAGTAAAGGTCTGAATGAGATGACAATTTTCACCTCTCTTATGCTCGTGGAATTCACACGGGTGAAAGGTAGCAGGATCTCGCTGGTCTAGCTTGTCTATGAGCTTGTCTTTGTGAATTTTGCGTACAAGGGCCAGATCATTACGGAACTGGCTGGACTTGGCTTGCAAGTTCATGATGGTAGCTTGCCGCATTCTTGTTCGACGACTTCGCGAATCTGCCACCGTCGCCAGGTAGCACGCAGCACCAACGACGTAATAGTTACGCAGCGGATTCCCCATAGTAGTCCTCATTTGGACCTGTTCCAGGTGCGCACTGTATCGGGAGCCCCCACATCTCCAGTGGTGCAAACGAAGCTCGTCCATAATTCGGTTTTGGAAATCGCGCATCATATACCCCCTGGCCATGGAATAGAGGCGCCGCATCATAGAGCTGAAGCGTCGTGCTTCGCGGTCCTTCCTTTTAAGTCCTTGCGGGGCGAGCGGCACAAAACCTTTACGCAAATACTTGACCATCTGCTTATGTAGTTTTGGCTTTCCCTTGGCGTCGACAAAGGGCCTTGTGTTCATCGGGTTCTTATACAGAGTAGTGAAAAAATCGCTCCGAAAGAGTAGTAGTTGTCGATTGATGTGAAATAGCTTGCGCTCTGGTCCAATTACAAGAGTGATTTCCTGTGCTCTACTATGAGTCAGTCACAGAGACCGAAATATGCGGGATCAGGATGGAAGTGAGGTGACTTACTCTTTGCGGATGGGTGCTTTGGGAGCCATCGTGATGGTGATGCAACGTCTCGGAGGTCTGAAGACGTGAAGAGAACGCGTGGATGAAAAAGTGGAAGATTGGGCCAGAGACCAGAGACGTGTGCGACAGAGGACAATTCAAGTGATGAAACTGGCGTATAGTTTGAAAATTGTGATCGGATGTCGTCTGCAAAGGGTGCTGCTTTGCTTCGTGCGCGACGCGGTTGTGGGAGACAACATATAGCCGTGGAAATGGTTGAAGTTGAATTGATGTGTGGAGGAGCGGAGTAATCTGGGGGTAGATATGGGTATGGGTATGGAAAGATGACTTTCCAAGATGTGAAGTAAAATTTTAGGAAGGAAGGAACGAAGCTTGATGGTGCTGGTCGAGTCGCTTTGAGATGAGTGACTTCCACATAGGAGAATAGAACAATGGGTGGAGATCTCAAATGAAGAAAGACAATCAAACAATTGAAATATGCGTAGAAAGAGTCCACGATTCAAAGTGGGAAACGTTGTTACTGGCTTCAAAAGAAGCTGAAATTGAAGCACTTGAAGCTGCAGTTGCAGTTGCATATTGGGAGTCGCGACAAACACGCTATCGTCCAGGGGGGACGCGTCGATGCGTGACTTCCCATCCATTCATTCGCTGCCTCATCACCCCGAAAAAGAAGACCTGTCAGAAAGAGATGGGTTCAACGGGCAATTGCGCTTTGGCATATGAAGCAAATATATTGCTTGCATTTTCCAGTTGCATAATGCCTTGTCCTTGTCCTTGTCCTTGCCAGTCAGGACAGTTTGTTGCCGAGTCCTCATCAGTGTTGCTGCAGTCTGCAGCATGTATCTTCCCAAAGACTTGAAACTCAGCACATCAAATTACAAAATAGCTTCTTTGGCGGATTAATTGCAGGGGCATCAAAGATTGAAAACGGCCGTGGCGAACCGAAAAAAGCAATTCTCGAATCTCAAGCATTGGAAATCAACTACACTATCAATCACCAAGGACAAACCCCATACACACCACAAACCTTCCCCACGTCGTCATCCCGATCACCTCTCACAATAGTCGCAATACGCTCTCCTCCCACATCTCCTCAACCCCGCCTCTCGCCCGCTGATTCTCCTTATCCATGAGATTCGTGACCACCAAGCCAGGATCCGCACCGAAGACCTTGAAACCGTCCTTCGCAAGCTTCACATGGTACTGGTTCATCAGCATGTTCAGCGCTGCTTTGCTCATGCGGTATTGCTCGCCTGTTGCGCGGTAGTAGGGTGATTCCGGGTTTGAGGCGTGAGTGATGGAGCCGATGCTCGAGGAGACGAAGACGAGACGTGGAGCTGGGGATTTGCGGAGAAGGGGGAGGAAAGCTTCTGTGACACTCATGACGCCTACGCAGTTGACGGCTAGCACTTCCCGGAGATTCTCGCGTGCAACCGGGTTCTTGCTCAAAATGCCGGCGTTGTTAACAAGAACATCGAGGCGGCCGTGGGTGGAGGAGACTTTTGAGGCAGCAGCATCGACAGAGACATCATCCGTAACATCGAGCTGGATGGCTTCTACGGTGCCTTTGATGTTGGGAAGGTTCTTCAGTGTGGATACGGCGTCGGCTCCTTTGGACGAGTCGCGGCTAGCGAGGATGACATGATATTTGGATGAGTGCAAAACGAGGTTCTTTGCTGTCTCAAAACCAACGCCTTGGTTTGCTCCTATATATAGCGAGTTAGAAGTGTGAAGGGACGAGTGTAGGGTGAATGTACCAGTGATGAGAATGATGGTTTGTGAGGAAGGTTCCATGATGTTGGGAGCCGCAAAGTCAACCAAAAAGAAGAGATGCCGAGGAAAGAAAACCAATTGATGTATCATAGAAATGAGAACATGGAACTAAATTCTACGCCCGGTGGTAGAAAGACGGAGATAGTGGGGATAAGATGGACATCGCAATACAACGCGGCCGGGGATACCCAAAGAAACCGTTGAACTACATTGGTAAACAGGAAAGAAAATGTGCCGAGCAAAACTAATGGGCCTTTTCCTCTTCCTCTTCTTCCTCATCTTCAGCCTCATCGGCATTCTCATTCTCTTCATACTTAATAGCGTTCATAAACTCATCAAGTGTGCGCTGCTCGCGTCGCGACAGCCTCCCACTTTGAGTACGACATGAGACCCCTGTTGGGTGTACGTGAAATTCACAGTGACCAAATCCATTCTCCACAGCAGGCTTCCGGTAGTCTGCATTGAACTTGGTGATTCTCTTCCCATAACCAGCATGCGTCAGAAAGAGCTCGGCGCCCAGTCTTGGACAGTCCTCCAGGAACTTCTTGAGTGCCAGGGCCCAGTCGGTGGAAATACAACCCCAGGACGTGCGGCAGGCAATGCTGCACAGAATATACTTCCAAAGCTTCGAGCGTGGCTTGGCGTTGTCGTGAATGTACATAATGTCTGGGACGGCGAAGTAATGGTCTGGGTCTCCGCGATCGTACTCTTGCAGCCCGTCCATGATCATGTTCATCGTCGACTCGAAGCCCAACCTCTCGCACATCAAGTACAGTGAGGGAATGTGCTGGATTGTATTCCTATCGAACGTGAGAAGACTCTTGTACAGAACATGGATAAGCATAGCAAAGGGTTTCGGGTCATCATCTTCAAGACTCAGATTGCCCCTATCATCTCTCGTCATTTTCGTCTTGGCTAAGAACTCTGCAGATATGGCAGGGTTTTTGTCAAAGATTTCGGGTGTAGTGCTATGGGCCTGCAAGAGTCTCCGATGGATGAAAAAGCTCTTTGAGTCAGGCTCTCGACCGATAGTGAACTTTATTGGTCTGGAGGATATCGCACTTGAGATATCTGTTAGTTGATGAAGCAGGTACGAAAGGACTTGGAGTGCAGTACTTGGAGATATTATTGACAGAATCACCCATGATGGGCAGAGTGTTCAAAGCAGACTTTGGTGTAGAAATGTCTTGATCTTCAAGAAGAAGAAGAAGAATTGGGCAACTCGCAATCTTGACGCGTGGGATTTGATGGGTGTGGATATTCGGCGGATATTTTCTACAGTTATACTCAAATCAAGTGTTCGACTGTCAAAACGTCACAGTCTATCAAATGGTGCAGATGCGTAAACTTGTGAATTCTGAAAGTGAAACGTAAAGTGCGGAGAAGCCAAAAAGAAGCAAACACGAAAACAGGTGACCGTTGGGGTGTACTGTAGGGAGGCTGCCGATTTCTCTTGCCCCCTTCATCTCGGCAACGGAAGCTCTCGAGTCTCCAGGCTTGTGAGAATCATTGGCTTTTGACAGCTGTGTTTGTATACCGGTAATGTACATGTACAGACAAGGAAAGTTCAAGTGGAAGTGCCCTGTACTTGGGTACAGTAGCAGCTTGCCGTCCTCCCGCTTTTGAAGGTATCGCTATAAATATCGACGCGCAACCTAATCAAATGGCGGCGTTTGATCAGCTCTTGTTGAGGCCGAAGCAGGATGACTCTCTATCCACAGCTTGCATCGTCGTGCCAAGCTTTTGCTTTTGCTTTTTCGTTTCGTTTTCAACCAAGGATGCGTACTTCGCCGTCTTATCTTGGTGCCTGTCTGTTCTGCGTTGTTGGTATGTGCTGTATTTCTTTTTCCGGCTTCTATTCCCCCTGTGCCCCTAGTGCTTCACTCCTTCACTGCAATGCATGATTTCCGTCCAGGCGGACGTCGGTTCTGCAGGTCATTTGAGATTGGAGGAGCATCAAGTGGAAGATCGTGCTGGCCCATGTCGCTCGTATGAGAGTTCTTCGTGAAGCACGCTGAAAGTTTACTGTACCAGCAAGATTTTGAGGTATGATTACGAAATAGCGCTACTCTACAATACTATCTATACCTAGCGTCGGGATTAGGGGCTACACCCTTCGTGTGGAATGCTGAGCGTTCAGGGTGTGAAGTGTGACTTGAATTGAAGTAAGGCTAAAGAAGGAAGAAGGAGAGAGTGTGTGATCCTGGATAAGACCCCACTCTAGTCTCCCTCACTACTGACTAAGCATACAGATGCCTCAGGCCCTCCACACTTCGTACAGTGCAGTGCAGTAGCCCGAAAGGTGCACTCACCCACTAAACTCTGACGTTCTTTGAATTTTAGCCATAGTACTAGAATACATGGGTTCCTTACCTACCTCGCTGTTAGTTGCCTCTTGCCATGTTATTTGTATATCTCAGGAGGTGGGCAATTTTCCGGAAGCCGCTGAACGCTACACTGAGCCTGGAGGTTCCACGCTGGGACGCGAGTCTACTGTACCGATATGTGACAACCGCGTAGTATCAAAATGTGCGGTTCCGAAATGTTTCATCATGCATCGCCAGTTCTGCTTACCAAAAATGGCCCACTGGTGTTGGTACATTCGAATGTCCACGTTCAATGAGGTAACAAGGACTTCTTACATATTTACAGTTTGAGAACAGGTTACGGTTGTTTCAACCCCAAGGCCTCTAATCATTCGCTTTACCCCATGTACTGGATTCAACACTGCTATCCTGAGGGAACCTTCGGCAGGAACCAGCTACTAGATGGTTCGATTAGTCTTTCGCCCCTATACCCAAATTTGACGATCGATTTGCACGTCAGAACCGCTGCGAGCCTCCACCAGAGTTTCCTCGAAGTTGTACGGAAGGAATATGTCTGAAGACCTTGGGAACTTGCAGAAGGAATCGGGATAGATCAGTTGTAGCCAGGAGTATGGGTAGGAAGTGGCAAGGGCAATAGCCGTATCTCTCAGTCCATTGAATGCCAATCACCTGTGCGAGCGGTCCTTTTTGCTGCTAATATTTCAGTGAAGCAAATATTCTCAATCAGTGTCGTCTACGAAGGGTTCTGTTCTGAAAGGATTGCGTTATATGAAATTTGAGTGCAGGTAGCCGGAAAATTACGGTACTGTACATGCATGTATGTACAGAGGAATTGCAAGACGTGCTATGAGTACATAAATGCAACAAATGGTGGTTTCTATGAAGGTAATCCGAGTAACGTCCATCCCTGCGTAACGAAAAAACCGGTGTGCCGAAAAGACTTTATAGTTTGGGGGTCTTAAACTCCACCACTTAAATATATAAAGTTGTAATCGGTTTGCTATTATTCTCTAGCTATTTCTCTATAAGGGCTCGACTTGCAGTCAGAAAATTACTTCAGTTTGGATGTACTATCCATCAACCTGTTGAGAGTATCCAAACCTACTTTAGCGGTTACCCCTGTTCTGTCATGACTATTAACCTGGAACCGGAATCCGGGGCTGTAGCATAAAGCCTTTACTAAGCATCAATATAGCTTTAACGTTTAAAGACACAGAGCATAAGGAAACATGCCTGCCGGATTTATCCGGACGAAGGTGGGAAGTATACAAAATGCCGCATCTTAATAAGCGAGGAAGGATTTACCCAATTGATTGTCTTTACAGCCACGCGAGCAGTATTAATCATAATATGCTTATATATCACGTGATACATAGTCTAGTTTGGCGTTCTTCTAGACGTTCCCACGTGCACCCCAGACAAATGAAGGACGGAACACTTATCACGATACAGAATAGTACCTCTCAGCGATAACAAGTTATAGCTTAAGAGCGCATTTACGTGGCGTAGATAACCTGTTATGAGCTCTTGCAGCGTCTGTCTCGCGATTGGCTGATTTTGCACGCTCGCGGTAATATATGCATAAGGACACCATCGCCGTTCTATGCATATAAGCGCTAGTACCAAGGCAACGACCTCTGCCAACTCAACCAACGACTTAGCACATATACTGAATTGGCGACACAAAATTCAGTGGTAACCCTCTTTCCTTACGGTCCTTCGATCCTAGTTGAAGGATGCGCCTACTAGAATACCTTGGCGATGAACGGTTCTCCCTGAAGGAGTTCTTCGCCGATGTTCCCCCATATGCTATACTCTCACATACATGGGGATTGGAAGAGGTAACTTTTAAGGACATGATAGAAAGGACTGGAAGGAGCAAGACGGGTTTTGACAAGATCCGATTCTGCGGAGAACAGGCTAGACGTGATGGCTGGCAATACTTTTGGGTAGACACCTGCTGTATTGACAAATCCAATGCTGTCGAGCTTCAGGAGGCTATCAACTCGATGTTTCGCTGGTACCAGAATGCTGTCAAATGCTATGTCTATCTCTTAGATGTGTCGACAAAGAAACGGAAGGCAAATAACTTATTCACCGAGTATACTTGGGAACTAGCATTTCGGTCAAGTAAATGGTTTACTCGAGGTTGGACCCTTCAAGAGCTTGTTGCTCCGACATCAGTTGAGTTTTTCTCTAAGGATCGGGAGCTCTTAGGTGATAAGAGGAGTTTAGAGCGACTAATCCACGAGATAACAAGGATTGCAGTTCCCGCGCTTCGGGGAGAACCTCTATTACAATTCGACATCGAAGTCCGATTATCATGGGCAAAAGACCGCAAGACTACACGCGAAGAAGACAAGGCATACTCGCTATTTGGAATTTTCGATATCCAAATCCCTCTCCTCTATGGTGAGGGAGGAGAGAGGGCGATGGAGCGGCTTCGGAAGAAGATCAACAAGCCTATAAAGGACAAAGCGTTTCAACGGCTCTTGGAGGAAGGAGATATATCTTTAAAGGGCGAGTCCTAAACATTTGTGTTATACATTATGCAATTAAGAGGATTGCTAATCCCTTAATACAGAGCTCGACCGTCTTCCATCTGCTGCAGGGGCGGCGTTCAATTCATTCGACCGCCAACAAGATTCCACTTGCCTTCCGGATACCCGAGTTGACTTGCTACAAGAGATTTGCGACTGGGCCGATGGAGAAGATGGTCGGTGCATATTCTGGCTCAATGGCTTAGCCGGCACGGGCAAATCGACAATCGCACGTACCATTGCTCAGAGATACTGCAAGGAAGAGCGCCTTGGGGCCAGCTTCTTTTTCTCAAGAGGTGGCGGAGATGTGAGCCATGCCGGTAAATTCTTTACAAGTATTGCCGTGCAGCTCGCAAACAACATACCATCTCTTCGACACAATGTTTGTGATGCTATTTCCCACCGCAAAGATATCGCAAGCCAGTCTTTCCGTGACCAGTGGAGCCAGCTTGTCCTCCTCCCATTATCAAAGCTCGGCGGCGGCTCGTCTTCGTCCTCTTACGTGTTGGTAATCGACGCCCTAGATGAGTGCGATAAAGATGAGCACATTCGGATGGTTTTACACCTCTTAGCTGAAGCCCGAACACTGAGAACTACCAGACTTCGAGTCTTGTTGACAAGCAGACCTGAAATCCCGATACGCCACGGCTTTTACCAAATCCCTGACTTTCAACATCAGGACTTTATACTTCACAACGTACTATCTACAATTATCAACCATGATATCTCTCTATTCCTGGAATACAGTCTAGGGATAGTCAGGCAAGAGTGGGCTCTTGGCGCAGACTGGCCCGGCGAAGTGGTCCTTAAACAGCTAGTTCTACATGCTTGTGGCCTCTTTATTTGGGCGGCAACTGCATGTCGGTTTATCTGCGAAGGGAAGGGATTTGCACGCAAGAGACTAGATACAATTCTTAAGGGCAGTAGCAGGTCTACTACCGCACCAGACAAGCACCTCGATGAGATCTACCTTACTGTTCTCAATCACTCGATCTCCTCGAGGTATTCGGACGAAGAGAAAGAAGAGGTATGCGATATGTTAGAGCATACACTTGGAAGTGTAGTAGTACTACTCTCGCCTCTTTCCGCCTCTTCATTAAGCAAACTATTACACCTTCCAAAGGAAGATATTAATCGGACATTCGAGGACCTTTATGCGATCCTTGACATTCCAAAGGATCCGACTCGGCCGCTCCGCCTGCACCACCCTTCATTTCGCGACTTCCTCCTCAATAAAGATCGTTGTGGGGATTTCTGGGTAGATGAAAATAAGGCACACCAGATATTAGCTACTAGCTGTATACAGCTGATGTCCCGGACACTCAAGAAGGATATTTGCAAAGTGCACGCTCCTAGTAGTCAAGCCAGCCAAGTTAAGAGCAGTCGTCTACAGAATTACCTTCCGCCTGAAGTTCAATACGCATGCCTTTATTGGGTTCAGCATCTGCAATGGAGTGGTTCTCAGGCTCACGACGGCGAGGAAGCTCACCGATTTCTGCAAGCTCATCTACTGCACTGGCTCGAGGCGCTTGGGTGGATGGGCAAGACCTCAGAAGGGGTTCAAGTAATATTGTCCTTAGAGGCTAATATTTCGGTCAGCTATCTGTCTATTGCATATAGGAGTCTAACTAAGTTGTCCTTAGGTTAATGAAAGCCCCAATTTATACGCATTAATCCATGATGCTAAGCGATTTGCCTTATATAATCGATCTGTTATTGAACAGGCACCCCTTCAATTGTACTGCTCTGCTCTTATCTTTGCGCCAGGGAATAGCGTTGTTCGAATGATGTTTGAAGGTTATATCCCAGATTGGATTCAGCTAAAATCAAGAGTACAAGCACACTGGAACGCGGCGCTGCAGACGCTCGAGGGCCACACCGCCTCGGTCACGTCCATAGCCTTCTCACCTGACGGCAAGCAGGTCGTGTCTGGATCTGACGAT